TGACCACTTATCTATATATATATATATATATATTTATATATATTAGCGTGGTCCAAAAAAATAAATTTTTTTTGCTTATCATCTCAAAACCTTCTTTTAGCTATAAAAAATATTTCCTTCAAAGCCGCAGCTTAATATCTCAATTCTCCACCAAGCTCAATGAATTTTTATTTTCCCATTTAAATAACACGTAAAAAGTTATTAAGCTTCAAATACTTGCTACTTAGTAAATTTGAAGTAAGATCGTTTCAAAGCAACTTTTTGAAGATGTTGACATTATTTAATATAGATAATTTATTTAATTTTTATAAATTTAAAATAATTTTCTATATTAAATGTCAATATCTTCAAAAAGTTGCTTTGAAACGATCTTCCTTCAAATTTACTAAGCAGAAAGTATTTTAAGCTTAATAACTTTTTACCCGTTAGGATTACGAAAAAACTACTTCAGGACTTTTTTGTAGAAAATTAAATTTTCTACAAGAATCATTGATGAGAAATTAAAAAAAAATGTTTCCTCGTTTTACCGGATAAAAACGAAAAAAATTTTTTTTAGTGTTATTTAAATGGGAAAATAAAAATTCATTGAGCTTAGTGGAGAATTGAGATATTAAGCTGCGCTTTGGAGGGAATTTTTTTTATACCTAAAAGAAGGTTTTGAGATGATAAGCAAAAAATTTTTTTTTGGAACACTAATATACAGGGTGTTTCATAATATATGCGCAGGACTTCAGGATGTGATAGCTCATCCAAAAAGATGAAAAAAGTCGCTATTAACTTACCCTCTAAAATGCACAATTTTCTAGATACAGGGTGTTGAAATTTTAGAAAAAAAATCGTTTTTTTCGATTATCTCCGGAACCGTTTATCGTACAAAAAACAGCTTTTGTAAGCATTTTCTATTCAAAATAAGCTATGTTTTGTGCCATAATTGGTGGCCATAATTGGTGGAGATTTTGAAGGGGTAGCTGGTGTTTTTCTCCTCAACTTCTACGCCCCTGAAAAATGTACGGTTTTGAGAGGCCTATTCGAACCGCCAATGTTTTCTACACAAAAAAGGTACTCTTGGTCATAAGCTCTAAAGTTAACCGTTTTCGAGAAAAATCAACTTTTATGTTTAAAAACAATTTAAAAAAAAATAATTTTTTTTTACTAATTAAACAAAATTTATTTTAACGTTAGAACAAGTAACAAAACCAAACCATAAATGCAAAATAAAAAATGATTCAAAAGTTGTCTTTGCTAAATTCTCCAAACCGTAAAGGTAACATTTCGAACATTTCAGCATTTGTGTAAAAAAACATTTTTTATTTTTTTTTTAATTTTGCAATTATCTCCACCAAATATGAGTAAAAAAATAATTTTTTTCTGGCACAAAACATAGCTTATTTTGAGTAGAAAATGCTTACAAAAGCTGTTTTTTGTACGATAAACGGTTCCGGAGATATTCGAAAAAAAAACGATTTTTTTTCTAAAATTTCAACACCCTGTATCTCGAAAATTGTGCATTTTAGAGGGTAAGTTAATAGCGACTTTTTTCATATTTTTGGATGAGCTATCACATCCTGAAGTCCTGCGCATATATTATGAAACACCCTGTATATACAGGGTGTCCTGAAATTAGTGCACCATACTTTAACAGCAGATTCTACGTGCAAAAATAAGAAAAAAAGTCCCTATAAACATAGGTCAAGAAATTCCTCTTAAGGGAGCTACAGCCCCCAAAAGGAAAGCCCCTGAAGATGGTTTTTATTTAATAGCTCCAAAACCGTTAAAGATAGAAAAGTGAAATTTAGGGAATTAATTAAACTTTGTATGACCAATATGACGTAACAATAACAATTTAAAAAATTTCATGCGGTTTGGGTCAGATTGATAGGAAGTGGGGTTAAAACCACCTTAACTTTTTTGTACGTATTTTGTACCAGAATTTGATGTCAGATTATGAAATTTTTGAGTTTTGCACATAAAAAAGGTCATCTTGTTGAACTTTGTTAACATACACCGTTTTCGCTTAAAATCGATTTGAAAATTATTTTACATGGCATAAAAATTCACAATTAAATCACAACCATAGAAATGGACTCGCGTGGTCCTTGGAATACGACTGCCATGTTTAGGAAAAAATAGAATAATTCAAGACAGGTGACAGTTTCATGTAGTAAGTGACAGGGTAATTCTACTTTTTTATAAATATTAGATAAACACCATATTCAGGGGCTCCCTTTTCGGGGGCTGTAGCTCCCTTAGGAGGCATTTCTCGATCTATGTTTATAGGGACTTTTTTTCTTATTTTTGCACGTGGAATCTGCTGTTAAAGTATGGTGCACTAATTTCGGAACACCCTGTATATATATATATATATATATTATATTGCAAAAAAGAAAATAAAAAAACTTGTGTATGTAAAGAAAAAAAAAATATATATATATATATATAATATACTATAGATATTATAAACTATATTTAATAATAAACTTCTGTTTTTTTTGTAAATGAATCTTTCTTATATTAAGGCTAATCGATTAGTTTGTCTCTCTGTGACCCCCTCAGGCTGTCCCACGAACATCCAATAAGGGCAAAAGAGTAACCTCATAAAAATAGGTGCTTTATATAATTCGTACTTACATGATATTTCTCACAATTTATTACATATCCGAAAATTGCTTGACCTAAAAGTTTAGACATGATAGCCAACCCACATAGTACAAGATGTCCAAAGGACGTCCAATGGACGCCCTTTGGACATCCTGTGCTGTGTAAAAAGAGACGTCCTATTTAGGATATTTTCGGCTTAGCCAGGTCGAACGGGTCTGGGACATCCATAGAACGTCAAGTCTAGACCCGGTCCAGCTTAGCCTTATTAGGCGTATTTTGGACGTCCAAAATACGCCTATCCAGGCATAACCTAAATAGGATGTCCGTTGGCTATCTTGTGCTATCTGGGGACCCCAGACTGGGGTATTGGTGATTTAAGAGTATCGCGAATATTCGTGCTTTATCAAGATCTGTATTGTGTTCTTTGTAATTATCAATGATTGTTGGTATTTGATTTGGTGTTTTGTATCTGCTTAGTTTTTTAATTTCAGAATAAACAGTTTTGCCCTGTTTGCTGTTAATTGTTTTGCGTGATGCCACTCATTGGCTGTTTTTAAAGACCATAATAGCCTGTTTAGTCGTTAATGTGTTTCTTTAGGGCAGGATTAGGGTGTAGTTGCAACTGCCTATATATTTTTCTTTTAATAATAATAATAATAATCGTCTTTATTTTTTAGTAAAATATTACAATAATATAGATTATTAAATACTTTACATAAAGTGGCAGACAATGGCGAAGTTTAGCCCAAGGCTACTCTTACACTTAACCAAGTGTGATATTATAATTGGTGTTTAATAAGACTAGAAAATAAAATAAATAAGAAATAGCAACAACAAACGTATATACATATATACACATATGTATATATATAAAATAAAGTCGGCTGAAGGACTACGGTCAATAGCCTTTGAACTTGGTTTTAGTTCAATAAAGCATTATTATTATTATTAAAATAAAGTAATTGTTTTTAATTTTTGATAAGGCATAAGGGGATAAGTAAAAAAAGCAATTTTTCAATAGAGCCTTTAACGTGTTCGCATTAATACAGGAAATATATTTATGTTTAGCGGGTATACGCTTTTGTTAGCATATGCCATGGGCTAACCAAAGGGTATACCCGCTAACCATAAATATGTTTCCTGAATAAATGCAAATACGTTTAAGGCTCTACTGAAAAATTGCTTTTTTTGACTTATCCCCTTATGCCTTTTACCCACAGAAGGTTGATGATGTGGTCAAAGATTGTATTGAAAAAAATTTGAGAATAGGTACCTAGGCATAAATTTTGAATTGAATTAGAAAAAAAGTTGTTAAAGGTATCAATACTGTTATTGCTGATAGAAGTGTGGTTTATTTGGTTGGTATGTCTCAAAAGTTTGTTGTTAATGTGCTGAATTTTGATTTTGTTAAAGACTTGAAGTTTAGTTTTGGTATATTGTTTTCAGTAACAAAGGGGGCCTCCAGATTCATTTTTATTAGCAGTGATAAATGGTCTGTACTAAGGGTGTCAATCCTGAGCCCTTCTTTCAATTTCGGGACCAAAGGTAACTAATCCCGGGATCCCGAGATCAGTCCCGAAAAAATATATATCATTAATTTTAAAACCAAATTAAAATAAAGGAACAAACCAACTAACAAACTTCACACCAGCTAGGGGAAATGGTTTTCAAGAATTTGTAGGCACATTGGACCCACGGTTACCCCCATTAACAAATAATTCTATTTTTTATTAATCAGGCCTTAGTGAGTTCCAATTGGGGCTGTAACTTACATTGAAATTATAGGTTATGTACATAAATTTATTTTACAGTGACCTGTAATTTTAAACTTTCTTTGCTGATTTTATACCAAACGCGATAGATGGAACCACTCTTGCTAAGTAATTTCAATGTATTTTCATTATTGTACGGCGGTGTATAATAATTTGACTTTTGCACTGCTTAAAAAAATGAACTTTATATATATGCTTACGAGTGTTATAATATGAAAATTGTCATACACTTAAAAAAAAAGTATATTTTATTCTTTGTAACTTATTACTAAGATCCCAGGATTGAGACTTTTGATCCCGGGATTTTCGGGATCGGATTTTTTACGGGATCCCGGTGTTGACACCTATGTCAGGCAACAAGTCAATTCCAGACTGGAATTTCCAGTTATGTTGTTTGTTAGATTATTAGTGTATAATAGTATAACATGGGTGGAATTTTAAATTATTTATCTTGTAAGGACAGCAATCCTAAATCCTAAATTTTATGTTGTTCAATAAATGTTAATATATTTGAGTATTGTAGCATTTCACTAAATTTTAGATAATTGATTTTATAAAATGACCTAAATGAATCTGTTCTTTGGGCATTAGAAGGTAATATACAAATTTTTTAATTTGGTTATAATTTACCTTTGGTGCACTCTCACATTCATCATCTGAAGATAATGTAATAGTATTATCAGCCATTTTTTGTAAATATAATAACACAATCACAGCACCTAACTATAACTATAATAATGCAAGAATCACAACGTGAAATATAAACAAAATTCAGATATCTGATTTTAGGTTATGAGCTTTTTTCTTCTTCTTCTTCTTAAATCTGAACACAGAGGCTCTGTGACAGAGCACAATGTTTAGGTAATGGCCTTTAGTTTACTTAAAAGCTATTTAGCCCGCTACCATTAGCTTGTTTGTCTCTGGTTATGAGCAGAGATAAAGAAGATTATGAGTACGGTATGGTATTACCAGAATTTATTTTCGGTATGAAATGTTTCGGTGTCATAGAGCGACGCTCTAAGAGTGTACACTTCTGGAAAATTCAAGGCTACCAACGTAACGTTGGCAATCATAGAAAAAGGATAGTTTAACTATCATAGTTGGCAATGTTACGTTTCTAACTTCATGAGTTGTTTTTGATGAAAATGCATGGTGATTTATTATCTATGTGGTGTTCTTTAATGTTTTTATTCTATGATGTTAACCAAAATTATTCTCCTAAATTGATTCCAGATTTTTAACAAATCCCTGCAAAATGCCAAAAGAACAGGTAGCATATTTAAAATGTAGCACATCACTGCATAATTCAGGTTATACAAAAAATATATTTTGTAGTTCATATAAAAACATTTATTATTTTTAGACGATGAAGATGACGACAGTAAATCACCTTTAACTTACAAAGAACGTAGACGCGAAGCACACACACAAGCCGAACAAAAAAGGAGAGATGCCATTAAAAAAGGCTACGATAGTTTGCAAGAGTTGGTTCCCACTTGTCAACAAACAGATATTTCTGGATATAAGTTGAGTAAAGCAACTGTTCTGCAAAAATCTATTGATTACATTCAATATTTGCAACAGCAAAAGAAAAAACAGGAAGAGGAACGAAATGGGTTGAGAAAAGAAGTAGTTGCATTAAGGATAATGCAGACAAACTATGAACAAATTGTTAAAGCACAACAATCACAACCTGGGCACACTGAAACTAGGATTTCTGATGAAGTCAAGTTTTCAGTGGTATTAAATGTTAATTATATTTACTCCACTATATTTATTAATTTAATATTTTTAGTTCCAGTTTATAATGGATCAGTTATTCACAACTTTCAGTACAGTGTCTGTGAGCAATTTTACTGAACTTTCTGCTGGAGTTTTTAGTTGGCTCGAGGAATATTGTAAACCACAGACATTAAAAGATACAGTCTTTCAGGTGCTTCGAAGGCACAACACAAATATGAGAGGGTAGTTTTTAAGTTTACTAGTCATAATTTTTAATATTTGACCAAATTATAGAACAATTAAAATAATGTGTATTTTATTAAATAATAAAATATAAGTTTAATAATATTATGTTAAATTGATTAAATTGAAATTGTTTTACTCTATAAATAGTTTTTACATGTAGTACAAATAACTGTTTTACTTTGTGATATAATGTTTTATTAAATTGTTTATAAATATATTTTATCTAATGAAGTGGTTGGGATATCTTTCTGTAAAATTAAATTTTATTATTTTTAATAATTTTTATATTGTGAGTCTTTTTGTGCTGCACAAAAAGACTTCTCAGCTAAATGGCAAACAAGCAAGCTCTTTGTGTATTTATATATATTTTTCCCTCCTATACAGGGTGGGCCAATGGAGTTTCTCAGATGTTACATAAAAAAACAACAAATGCTCCCACAGGTCAATTTTTGATTTTAGGTCAATTTATTTTTATATTTTTAACACCACAACTTCAACCCCAAAGTGTAGTAATAGGGTCAAGTGATGCCTCATTTAAACGTTTTTCTTTGCAGTGATTATAACCTCTTAAGTTTGAAGTTGCTGCATTGTGTTCTGTGGTCGCTGCTATTATCACCAAACACAACCTAACCAACCTTGTCGCTCTTCAAATAAAAAAAATACCCATAGAAGTATATAAGTAGAGAAAAATATACTAAAATCACCAAGAAGAACACTCAAAGCAATACAATTTGTTTCACACAATTTTAAGATGTTATAAGATAATTTTGTATAGAACCAGGAAATATTAAATTTCCTTAAAAATATTATATACTGTATGCTGTATCTATTTGCTATTTTAAATTAGGTTAATACTTATCTTTCTTCTGGCACATTGGTATTATGAAATGAAAATGGTGATTCACACAAATAATTTATTAAGTAAATAAAATAGAGGGTACATGGTACATATATTGAAAATTTCAAAATAGACAAAAATTTATTTTTCTCTTAAATAGTGTTTATCTATGACGCCTAAAATCTAAATATTAAAAATAAACTAAAGGACACTTTATTTGAAATTAACATAAACACATTTTGTGATTAAGTAACAAATCTTATAAAATAAATTTTTGATCATTATATCAGAGAGTTGCCATTATAAAAATAAGTACTTTCTTCATATTTATCCGCCTTAAATTTATAAAATAAGTTACTTAACAACTGTACTACCACTTTAATAAATTGTAAAATTCCTGGCAAAATGTAATTTTTGAGATTTTACAAAAGTAAAAGTGGCAAATCAAGTTAAACATTATTTATATCTTAAGCAAATGATACTTGTAAAGCACAGTAATATTACACCATTAATGATAATAATTTACATTTGATATTAAAAATCTCGTCTAGTAATGACAAATTAACAAGTTAACACTTAAATTATAATATATAATTAATATACTAAATTTGTCATTAATTACTTATAATAAAAAAACTATTCGTTCCACCCACTTTAAATCAGAATTAAATCATAACAAATTTATCAAGTTTTATTTCTAGTAAGGCGATTTTTTTCCAGACTTCTAATTTAATATTATTTTGGTGCATAAATATTTACAAAGAAAATAACAATAACACAAGATTTTTAAAAGGTACCCACTTTAGAAATTTCCCTGAGAAATTAAAATCTAGACTACTATGCTTGATTTTTGTAGAAAAGTTTTTTATTTTTTTATTATTTATTGACCAACATGTTTTTTCTGCCACTTTTAATTGATTGCTGGGCACCTCTAAAAAATGCAAGCATATTTGTAGTTTGCATCTAATTTAAATTATTTACAGTTCCTATTTTGATATATCAAAGGGACTAAAATTAATTTGAGATTATTTCAAGGGATTTCATGCAATTAGAACTTTTAAAATATCGGTTTCTTTGTATTTTCTTAAAGTTCAATATTTCAAGAGTATTCTATGTAAATTTCAAATTGATCCAGTAAAAGTTTTAAAGACACGTGTTTTTCTCAAAACTACGATATTTTAAGAACCATGAATTTATTATTTTTTCAACAAGCGATTTTTCCTTAAAATCGTAACAAAAATTTCAGAGGCTCCATTTTTACAAAATTCTTGAAAATGTCCATCCACCTCTGACTGCATGTAACCCTTTAATGATCTTAAATATTACTAAAGTCTGGTTTTCGTGTAAATTATGTACAACATCCAAACGTAGGATTTGTTTAAATTGAAAATAATTTTAAATAACAATTCAATGAAATTTCTAGAAATAATTGGGTAGAACTGAGAGATTTTCTGTAAAAAATGTCAGGCTTTTGTAATAGTCTTAATAAATTTTGTTTTTTATGTCATGCCAACACAAATTTAAATCGGAGAAGAAATGAATATTAAAGCTAATAGAATTATTGTACTTTTTATTACCTCTGCAGAGGCTTCAACGTTTCCTTACTGTGCAATAAGAAAAGCTACTAGAAAATATGCAAATCATACAAACTAAAAATTGTTAAGGAGGGTTGTTACTTTTCCTGTCAAGTGCACATTATGAAATTTAAAGGCTCTCATTTAAACGCAAAAAGGATGACTAACTCAATTCAATTTGGCTAAAATAATTTAAATGAATAAATAGATATGTTAGTTGCTTTTTTAATATAACTAATAAACTCTGAAACTTTGAGCTAGATAACTTAACAATATTCTGAATTACACTGGCCAACAGCCATTTTGCCTCAGGGAGTCCAAAAATAACCGAAAATGATCGTAAAATAGATATAAATTTTATTTAAATCGGACAAAAATAATTATTTTGTTAATAACAGGGTTTTTAAAGGAAATGTGTAACATTTATTTTTTTCAGTACAATTACCTACCTTACCAATCACAAAATAATTTTTTTGTGGGGTGGGACCCTTACATATTTTTTTTAAATTTTGTATAGTTATTCTCTACATCAAAATAAAAACTCACTGAAGATTTGAGCTCATGAATAATAATAATCACTTTCGTAGTAATGATTTTTCGAATTTTGTCATTTTTTTAAACTTTTTCGATATTTTTTTGGATGCAAATGTTTTATAAAAATACAAACAGTACTGTTTTTGTTAGCTTTTCAATGAAAATATTCATAATTTATTACAGATACATAACCTCAATTATATGAAAAAATATACTTATACTCAGCTTAAAAAAAAACAAATTTGAAATAAATATAGCCGCAAAAATTGCGATTTTCCTGGACTTGCATCAAATTTTATTGAAAATTCTGAAAGGTGAGAATTTTTTACATAAAATATTATTTTAAATAATTAAATAAAACAGTAATTGAAGGGGTAAGAAGCAAAAGGGTAAAAATGCAAAAAATAGAAGTGGAGTTATTAATTAAGGTTTTTGCTATATACAAAAATCTGGATACTTGTTTCAATGTTTGCATTAATCAACATGCAAAACTCGAGCAATTTTCACGTTATAAGAAAATTAAAAAAAATTGGACTCTAAACTACCCAATTCTACACTTAACTTATTTTCATGCTAAAATGCACTTGTAACCATTTGCTTCTCACCCATTCAATATTTTTTTTTTAAATTGCATTTGCAATTTAACGCCAATTAGGTCTTATTATCTTAATATAGGACGAAATTCGTGTTAAACTTACAGATACATAACCTCAACTATTTACAATTCCTTTATTGTTTAATGCATTTAAACAAAAAATAAACCCCATTGTAAAAATTAAATATTTTATGAAAAAAATTCTCAGCTATTATAAAAAATATCAAATTTGAAATAAAAATTGTTGCAAGGCTAGAAAAATCGCATTTTTCAATTTGAGGGCGGCCATTTTAAGCATGCGGACGGGACCAATCACAAAACTGTTTTCATATAAAAAAGTGTAGGTATTAGCTGGGAAAGTTACTTCTGAAAAGTATCTAGTTACTTTTCCAAGATACTGTAAACCAAATAACTTAGTTACCTATGGTAACTAGATACTTTGAGTTAAAAGTATCTTTAGTTACAAGATACTATCGCTAACAAAAAAAACTCATACAGCTATATTGTGGCTGTGTGAATAAAACTTTTCCGTCAATGTCAAGCTGACATCAAGCTTTGTCACATCCATTATGACTTTTTTAACAACATTTTCAACCAAACAATGCAGACGAACTCTGGCAAGCCATTGAAGCCATTTGGAACGAGATAAAGCAAGACGGCGACTTCCATGCTTTGCCGTTTGACAAAAACAGAGGGATGACGAAATATTATTTTTTTTCAAACTTCAACCTAACTTTGTATTTAATTTTAGACCTTTCAAATGTGACGTATCATGTTAAAAGCCATAATTACTCCAACGAAATAATAGAAAATCAGGAACACTAGATTTTTAAGTTGTATGAGTTTTTTTTGTTAGCGATAGTACTTTAAAAAGTATCTAAGATACTTTTGGGTAACTAAGATACTTTTAAGTAACTAAGATACTTTTGAGTAACTAAGTTACTTTTAAGTTTGAATAAAAACTATAAAATTATAAAAATTCAACAAGTTGTAGGTTAGGTAATTGCTTTGAATCATTCTGGAATTCTTCCAATTTTCTCTAAGAAAGTATCTTGAAGTACTTGAATGTATCTTAGTTACTTTACCGAGTAATTTAGATACTTTTTAAGATACAAGTTACAAGATACTTTTCCAAAGTAACTAAGTTAAAGATACTTTCTGTCTAATATAAAAAGTATCTAAGATAAAGTATCTTAGATACTTAAGTATCTAAGTTAATTTTTAGTATCTTTTTTTTTTCAAGACACTCCCAGCTCTGGTAGGTAATTTATTATTATTATTATTATTATTATTTTTTCATCATAATTGTCAAATATATTCTTGTTTTATTAGGGTATACATTAAATAAAAAAACGCAAGAAATATTTTATAAAAGTAGAGATAATTTTAATAATTGTGAGGGTGGATGGGACATTTTGTCTCGTCCACACCTTTCAATCATTAAAATTATTTCTACTTTTATAAAATATTTCCTGCGTTTTTTTAAATTTAATGTATGGCCTAATAAAAGAAGAATATTTTTGACAATTTTTATGCCAAAATATTATATAATAAATTATCTATAATTTTTTTTATAAAAACAGTTTTGTAATTCGTGCGTTTCGCCGAGGGTCTTTTATAATAAATAGATAGAGAATAACCAAAATTAAAAAAAAAAATCAGCAGGGGTCACTCCAAAAAACATTTTATTTGATGGAATTTTTGTCTTCATTTTCCGCTCTTTCCAATGGTAAATAATTAATTGACATAATCCTGTTTAGCATCGAAATGAGAGGAAAAATGTAGAGAAAAAATATGTAGTGATTTAAAAAAATTGGGCTCCGGTGTATACGAATTTAAATGTATGCTTATAAAAAAAACTTTTTTTCACAATATCGCAAAAACAAGAGCTAATTGAACAAAGTGGTGGTATTTTTGGAATCAATGGCCACCCCGTGGCAAACAAAAAATTCCATTTTGTCGACCAGTGTATTAAATAAGTAAAAACTTTTATATTTCATAATCAATAAACAAATGAACTCGCACAAGTTTACTTAATTTAGTCTGTACTACTCTAACTATGACAAATATGAAGCATTTAAATATTGTATGCCCATATATGAGTAAAAATGTCTATAAAAATTCAATTTGTAGCTTTGGTTCAAACCTTTGCCTTAACTTTACGTATTTTCGATGGCCGGCGTTTTTTCTTACTGCTGGTCGACTCTTCTTTCGTCTCCAGGTCGAGTTTTCGTTTGTTGTTCTTAATGCAAATCGGCGATACAGACGGCAGATCCAATTCCTTGTCTTTATTATTAATAACATTAACTGGTGCTGCGTTTTCGCACTCGCTCTTTCCCGCAACTCCGTCTCCAGCGCAAACTAGATTGAGATCCGAAGCTTCGAGCTTCAGCAAAGCTTGCAGCTCGTCCGGCTGCGGATCGATGGCGTTGCCGCAACTGGTACAGAATGAAGTAGCCGGCGATTTACACCTCCAATATTGCAACTCGGTCTTGCATTTGTTCAGCTCTTGCAGCAACGTGCTGAACTTGCGCGAACTCTCCTCGTTCTTCTTGTCGTACTCGTCCAACCTGGTCGCGTACTCCAACGTCTGCTTCTGCTGCTCGGCCAGCTGCTTCTGCTGCTCGGTGATCTGCTTCTGCTGGTCGGCCGTCTTGCGCTTGCACGATCTCAGCGCCTGCCTGAGATCGGACAGCTGGCTGTTGTACTTTTTCATGCCCTGCTTGATTTTGCGGATGCGCTTGCGCAGCACCATGTTCGATTGCGGGATCGGATCGACGAGGTCGTCGGGGTCGATCGCGTCGTCCGAGCCGTCGTGGTTGCTCTCTTTCGATATGTCGGAGACCAGGTTCGAGGAGTCCATGTGCAAGAACTTGCTCGAACTCGAGCCTGGAACAACACAACGGGTTCGTACAGGAGTCGTTCCAAATAAAAACACCAAATGGGGTGCGCTGCTTGATTTTTTATTTTGATAAAAAAAAATTGAGGATGATCTTTTACGTATCAAATATGAAAATCCGTTGCCGTTTTAATTTTTTGGATTCTTTATTTTTAATCGGCACCCTTTAGAAATCTGAAATCGTGCCAATTTCTTACTCTCTTATAGTGGGCCAGAACTTTTTTTTTGTGACAAATATTGAAATGATTTTACTGTTCAGTAAGTGTGTTTTCGATATAATAGTAAAGGGTGGGCCATCTATAAGTTGAATTTTAAACTACGTGCTATTAATGAAGCTTTCAACTTAAGCGCCATGAATTGCTAAGAGTGGTTTAGTTTTAACCTTCCGATTACAAAATATGCACAGAATAAATTTGGATCAACGTTTCGAAATACTCAAAACTTACTTTGAATGTGACTGTGATCGCAGGGACGGCAAGAAAATTGCGTTTGGAAGAAATGAGACGCCGTCAAACCAAAGTATTACAAATTTGATCAAAAAATTGCGCAGAAATGGACATAAAACATGTTTCGCATGCTCGTCCTATACCTACACCTGAAGCAATCGCTGCTGTGGCCGAAAATGTACGCATGAACGCGTCAACATCAACTCGGCGCAGATGTCAACAACTCGGCCTTTCACGTACCACTCTGAGGATGATTCTGCAAAAAGACCTCGGTATGTTTGCGTACAAAGTCCAGCTTGTTCAGGAGTTAAAGCTTTCGCTTTGCTGAGTGGGCTTTAAACCAGTTGAACGATGACCCTAATTTTGCAAGAAAAATCATCTTTTCGGATAAGGCGCATTTTTACCTCGGAGGTTATGTCAACAAGCAAAACTGTAGGATTTGGGCCACGGAAAATCCACACGTCGCCGTAACAAAGCCTATTCACCATTTAAAACAAAACATTCAAGCTCAAATTGCCTAAATAGAGCAGCAAACTTTTGACAAAGTGCTCGAAAATTGGTGTTCCAGGATGGGCTACTGCCGAGCCAGCTGAGGTGGCCACTTAAATAAAATCATTTTCCATACTTAATCGGAAGAATCATTGTATCAAATAAAGCAAAATTCGTTGAAAAAAAATCAGTTTTTCTTGTTCTCATTGCTACTTTATAATTCAACATAAACATGGCCCACCCTTTATATTATTATACGAGCATATAATGAGGGCTATTATTCACGAAGGTTAAGTTTATGTCACGAGCGTAGCGAGTGGCATAATTAACCTGAGTGAATAATAGCTCATTATATGTGAGTAGAATACTATGCTTTGTCCACGACTACTATTGACTTTTAACGGATTTTAATGCAAAAAAATTTATATTTATTATAACCTATTTGACATTAACAAAACCAAAAATTAAAGATGCCTGTGACTATTTTTAAAACTATTTATTTATATTAATTGTAATATATATATAAAATATACCAGTAAAACAGACTTTGAGAATGAATTAATTTTCTTGGTCGCTCTCCAGTCCATAAAGGTGTTGTACACAGATACATACAAATTTTGGGATTTCTCAGGCAACAAATTCAGGGAAGTGACTTTTGCTGCTTCTGTTATCTCCGGTGGAGAACACAATATATCTTCTTCACTATCAATTTCCATTGTTAACGTATTTTTGAAAGCAAATTATAATTTTAACAGGAATTATTATTGCACCACCGCGTCGTTAAAATTTGACGTTTCAAATAATTATTAGTTGTCAGTTGATTACATGGCTTACTACCTACTTGATAATTCTATTATTTATAGATTATGCAGTATTTTATTTCCAATGAATGTGATTTTTTAGGTAATTCGTATTTCGAAAAGTGACTTCTGTGATGTTTTGTTGAGTGCGTAACATCTCTTCATCTTTCACGCTTTGATTTTTTATGTATAATTTAAGATTAATAATAATTTGTAACAAAAATCGTGTGCTGAATCGAAGTTATGACGTTTCAAATTGACAGCAATTTATGCTAAGCTTGTCATGTCATGTCAATGGCTTACTTACTTGAAATAGTCTACTTAATGTTAAATTTTTATTCAATTGCATTAAAAAACATATTAAAGTAATACTTTAACAAGACTTTTATGATTGGTATAAAGTTAGATAATTAAAGTGCCTGGCTATAATTGCCTAGACGAACTTATAAGTGCTTGCCAGATACAATCGTCGTGGATAAAATATTATTATCCAATTAGTTAATCTTATAAAAAAATGGTAAACCACTAAAGATTCATGATAATTTGCCAATTTTTGTGATTTTTGTCTGGCTCCTGTGCCTATTCTACTAAATCTAGAAAGTTGCTTTTTTTCAGGTATCAAGTACTTATACAATGGAAAACGTAACTATTATTTTAAGTTTCTAGACCATCATTTTCTTTATTAAAAAAATTATTGAAACTTGATAAATCTTAAAATTAGTCAATTTTGCCCTCAGAAATCATTATGTCGAGGAAAAAATAAAAATCTAAAACTTTCAGGAAATGTAGTCCCCACCTTCATCTTTTCAGTCCAGTTAGTCTTGTTTTGTTATTTTTATTCCTTTAAAAGATATATTAATTTTTTTAATGCCCGTTTAGTAGCGATATTGTTAGTTTTATTTATAATTTAAAATTTAGATGGCTTTCATGTTTGGTGGAGAAGTGTCAGAACTGTCAAAAATATTTCATAAATATTATTTGTGCGTATTTCTTTGGTAAATTTTGTATATAACATAATATGTCATATTATGTTATATACAAAACTTTTTAAAATCACCAAAGGAATAACATTTTAAATTATAAATAAAACTAACAATATTGCTCAACTGCATTAAAAAAAATATTATATCTTTTACATGGATAAAAATAACAAAACAAGACTAACTAGACTAAAAAGATAAAGGTGGGGACTACATTTCCTGAAAGTTTCATATTTTTATTTTTTCCTCAACATAATGATTTTTGAGGGCAAAATTGGCTAATTTTGAAAATTATCAAGTTTCAATAATTTTTTTAATAAAGAAAATGATGGTCTAGAAACTTAAAATAATAGTTACGTTTTCTATTGTATAAGTACTTGATACCTGAAAAAAAGCAACTTTCTAGATTTAGCAGATTAGGCACAGGAGCAGGACAAAAATCACAAAAATTGGCAAATTATTACAAATCTTTAGTGGTTTACCATTCTTTTATGAGATGAACTAATTAGATAATAATAATTAATATTGAAAACATTCTTACTAGGCAGTAAAATAAAATTACAATCATTTCAATAAATGCCACAGAATAGTATATTCAAGTTTGGAATACAGCATATTCCGCTCGAGTGAAGAGTTTGTCACACTAGCCGAAGGCGAGTTTGACGGTTTCAGGAGAGCGGAATATGCAATTCCAAACGTGTTTCAGACTATACTTTTTCTACGTTTCCAAAAAAATAACATAAAAAAATAATTTAGTTGGAAGAAAGTGAGGTTGGATCTGTCTAAAATTTGTTAGATATTAAAAACAGAGATGTCGCCACGAGTGTTTATTCTGTCATCGGATGATAGAATATTTCATTCTGTAACACTTTACGGAATATATGTCATTCCATAGATAAAAGTGATATTAGAACGGTCAAATTCTGTAATAGGAGTAGAAAAAAAAAGTTTTAGCCTCTTATAAGAGAGTAAGAAAATGACACGATTTCAGGTTTCTAAAGGGTGCCGATTAAAAATAAAGCAACTAAAAATTAAAACGGTAACGGTTTTTCATATATGATACCTAAAAGATCATCCTCAAATTTTTTTATTAAAATAAAAAATCATGCAACGCACTTTTAAATTCATTTTTATAGTTTTCATTTGGATCGACTCACAGTCATGGGCACGTAGACATGGAGGTAGTGACAGATTTTCGACGGTATTAGCATTATTAAAAGCGTCGATTAAGAAAGTCTCCACTCAACAGTAAAATACCAATAACTGGCATTATAAAGGGTGTCCCAACAAGAGTGCACAATTTAACCTTGCAGCCATTTTGTTAATAAGAGTTGTACGGAGATTTTTTTTTACAGTACAGACCACGCGATTTAAAAACATGAAGAAATATTCAAACGAACAATGTTTAATTATTGTAAAAACACATTACAAAAATGGTGAAAGTTTTGCGAAAACAGTTCGTCAATTTTTCGGTCGCAATTATGCGCCAAATGAATCGACAGTGAGGCGTTTAATTACAAAATTTGAGAACAAATTTATTCCGGTGGATCGTTGTCGACCTTGTCGGTTACTCAAAAATATAGCCACAGTAAGGGAATCTGTGGCCGAGAATCCAGGAACTTCCATTCGGCATCGTGTTTAAGAATGGGGTAGTTAAATTTTTTCTGACCTATACTTTTTATGGTTTTATTCAAGGCGTTTTGTAATTTTAAACATTTCTGTGAAATCGGAATTTCAATTGAGTTTACCGTTTTCGAGATATTTACAAAAAAAAAATCTCCTAATTACGTCACTAGGCTATTGACAACGTTGCCAGCTTTTTCTATGGTTGCCAGTAAGTTTAGTTTAAGATTCTTACGATAGATGGCGCCACGTTATAATATTTTAGTATTAAAACCACTTGATCTATAATTTTAGTTGAGAAGAAGAAGAAATGATTTTTTGACGTTTCTTTTTTTCGGGTTCTGTTTTTTTTAAATTTAGATTATTGAAAATCAATGTTATTGTTATGTTATTTGTAATTGATATTAGATAAGTGATTTATTAATAACGGACTCCAAAGCAGAGGAATCTTGTGGAATGGTTGGTTACATTGAACTTTGGAGCTTTTAAATAAATAAAGTAAGTACGGTACTTAAGTTAAAGTACCTATAATTATAATCATATTTTGTCGTAAATGCATTTCATAAGTATAATGCCTAGTTCTTTATATTCTTTTAGATATATCTTGGACTCTAAAATATCAAACAGTAATATGATACCTCGTAATAAGGAAGATAGGTACTTAATAAATTTGGTGACCATCTTTCATTCAACTGACAGTGACAGTATTTGTACATAACCTCTTCGGGTATTTTCTGACATAACCGAATGAAATCATTAACAAGACAACTTGACAACAGGGTAATTTTCAACCAATAGAAATCTTAGAATGTTGGTCACATGGCGAGGTTTGTGACTTCATAAAAATTTATATTTTTTGTAAATATCTCGAAAACGGTAAACTCAATTGAAATTCTGATTTCACAGAAATGTTTAATATTACAAAACGCCTTGAATAAAACCATAAAAAGTATAGGTCAGAAAAAATTTAACTACCTCATTATGTCTATTCACTTGTCCAATTAACATAAAAGTGCACTCATCCGAAAAACATGTATTATACAAAAGATTAGGATTATTAATCAACTGCTCACTGAAATATTCGCAAAACTGTAACCTGCGATCAGGGTCATCTTCATTAATTTCTTGAACCAGCCTAATTTTGAAAGGATGAAACTTGTTAATTTTCATGATGCGAAACACACTGGTGGCGGATACGCCAGAGGCTTGAGATAATTTCCTGATAGACTGTGTATTATCCATTTGTACAACACAGCAACTTCTATAGCTTAATTTCTTACTGGACAGTTTGCCTCACGTTTTTTGTTGTGGATGGAACCCGTAGTTTGAAACTTAGCTACTAATTGTTGAACGTATTGGTAACTTTACGTTTTTTTCGGGATGATTATTATTATAATTCGTGCCGAGGCGATTGCACAATCATTATTTCGATAATAGGTTGCAATAATTTCCGTTCTTTCTTCAATGGAGTATACCATTTTGAGAATACGTTGTAAGGTTTACAATGTTAAGCTAAAAAGGTTCAGAAAGCTAAACTGATAACGACTTATTGAACAGAACAATAGGCATTTACTAATTATTCTTGATAACTGCATTTAAATAAATCTGTGTGGCGCGTGCGCGCGTTACCATGGCAACCTCATAAAAAAATGTCATGCATGCATGTAATTTGAACATTAAATTCTTTAATTTACAATTTTGTTGTTTTTCTTTATTCATCAAATTTAAAACTTCAAATAGCAATTTCTTCAAAACTAACTAACAGATTTTAAAAAAATTACAGAACCTTATTAAGAATTAAAAGACCTTTAAAATGATATATCACTCAACCCCCCTTATAATTTAAAATTTAGGGGGTGGGCGGGGTGGAGCGTGCAGGGGTGCGGGTGGGGGTGTGAAACATACATCAAAATTCGTCCCCCTAAAAATAAAAATTGACGTGTTCAAGGAATTTTGTCCACACTCATCCGATAAAACGTTTGGGGGGGTACAAGTTTTCGTTGGAACACTCTGTATAATACATATTATAATACCAGGTCTTGGTATTTTACTGTTGAGTGGAGACTTTCTTAATCAACGCTTTTAATAATGCTAAATACGATTTATTTGTGTTATGATTTTTACTGAATTGAAATGTTTACAATTTTCAAGCAAAGAGTACGGTTTTGTAGTTACGTCCAAGTGTAAAGATGAAAATAACCAATGTAACCAATTGTATCAGTTTTTAGCTAAAATGTCATATTTTTATACCTAGATCATATTAACTCATTTTGAGAAAAATAGAAGTTAGGACCTCTGTGCTTAGCACGCCTGCGTAGCTGTGGTTTTATATTTTGACTCTATTTCTTATTTTTTTTAACGCAACCCTGTGATTGAGAAAGTTGTTTCAAAAAAAAAAACAATTCCAATAAATTAACAAAATGTTGAAGCCTAAATTAACGTTTAACTTACCGGAAAAATTCAAAAACTCCGGACTAAAGTACGCAATCTCGGGCAAGTTGGGCTCGATCTTGTCCTTGAAATACTCCATCGCCATCGTCGACAGATCGAACAGCTCGTCCGTGACCTTGTAGGGCAGATCCAATTTCTGCGTAACTCTGATGTAGTAGAGGATGCGATAGACCTCGTCCAGAATTTCGCCCGGAAAAAAGTAGCAGTGCCTTCTTTCGATGTGCTTTCCGAACGTCATTTGGAGCAGCGTGAGTCGCATGTGCAGGGTCTCGACGATGTCGCTCTCGCCGGCCAGGTAGTGGCTCCGTCGGGCCGACTCTCTGCGAGGCATTTTGCTCTTGATGTCCTGGAACCTTTGCAGCATCTGCGTTTGAAGACGGAGAAACGTGGAGTTTAGGATGTGTCCACACACTCTGTCGATAGTACGGCATACCTGAATGGGATTTTTATTGGTTAGGTTGGTTTATGATGATTTCGGTACTTTTTGTTTTATTTTGTGACCCGTTTGTTTGCCACTCGCCCCCGTAAAATCTGTAAGTATTTATTGTGCGATTTTGTTGCGGTTGTTTTAAAGTGTACATCTTGATAAACTGTATTTTTGGAGCAAAATACAAGGCAATTTTTTTGAATTCATATTAAGGTATTTCGATTGTAACGGGTGCGACACTGACAATGCGTTTTTATATGATAATAAAGTGTTTGTTCAGATATTAAAATACGTTAATATACAAAAATAGTATACAAAATTAGCTATTTAACTCAAACAAAATGTAAATAAAAACTTGTAAGAATAGTATATTCTGTAATAAGTTTGGAATACAGCATATTCCGTTCGAGTGAAGAGTTTGTCACACGAGCCGAAGGCGAGTTTGACGGTTTCACGAGAGCGGAATATGCAATTCCAAACGTGTTTCAGACTATACTTTTTTTTACGTTTCCAAAAAATACCATAGACAAATAATTTAATTGGAAGAAAGTGAGGTTGGATCGGTCTAAAATTTGTTAGATATTAAAAACAGAGATGTCGCCACGAGTGTTTATTCTGTCATCAGATGATAGAATATTTCATTCTGTAACATATGTCATTCCATAGATAAAAGTGATATTAGAATGGTCAAATTCCGTAATAGGAGTAGAAAAAAACCTTTTTTCTACTCCTATTATGGAATATGACCTTTCTAATATCACTTTTTAATGTGGAATGACATATATTCCTGAATGTATTACACTGGTGGCGACATCTCTGTATTTAATAACTAACAAATTTAGACCGATCCAACTAGGGAAGATCTCGCACTAATTCTGCAAGATTAGTCTTCCACGTAAATCATGCGCGATCTCGCAAGATTTGCGAGATTAGGACGCAGCGCATTCCATGTGTGTTTTGTCTTTTTTGAGAAGTCATTTTCAAAATAATGTATGGGTAGTTTTTTCAATAAATAATTTTAGTCTTGTTTATGCTTTTTGCTTCAATAGCTTGATGATTATTCGTGTATAATATTATATACCACTAGTGGTAAAATTTTACCGATACAATTTTTGACTTTAATACGAATGTTTTTTTCTTGAAAATTTTGCAAGTGGGATTAATTTTTAATGCCACTAGCGAAATTTCCAAGGAAAAATCTTGAGTAAATAAAAATCAAAAATTTTTTCAGGGAAAATTTTATTACGAGTGGTATTCGGCAAGGCTATTTCACGAATATTTTTTTTAAATTAGAATTAACTGCCGATATTTTTTGAAATTTTTATTTTAAAATTAGAATCGTCAACATTGACAATTATTTTTCGCATAAACCAATGTTTTTTTACCTAAATAGGTAGTAGTTTTATCACTGCAACACTGAAAAAAACACTCGTTTTCTGAAATCTGATTGGTCCATAAAGTAATGAGTGGAATAGCCTTAAATAAATTGTTTAATTTATGTTTTATTTCATTATTTTGCCTTTACGATATAACCTAACAAAGTGGTAATAAAAATAATTATACTAATTTCTTTTTTTATTAATCTGCGAGATCTCGCAAAATACCGAGATCTTGCGAGATTACACCTCTTAAATCTTGCTATACCAAGATTGTACATTTTCCTGCAAGATTGCATTCCCTAGATCCAACTTCACTTTCTCCCAATCAAATTACTTTTCTATGGTATTTTTTGGAGACGTAGAAAAAGTACAGTCTGAAACACGTTTGGATATGCCGTATTCCAAACTTGTTACAGAATATACTATTATAACGTCATGAATCGCGTAAGCTGGCTTCCAAAGTTGATCCTGTAAAATTTTGGATGAAAGCATATGCTTTATATATATAGTATATATGCTTTATATATATAGTAACTTTTTGTGTAAAACTTGAATAGTAACCTCAAACAAGCACGTATGCACAAATATTGTATACTTCATTTTCGAAAGTTTTCTCAAAATGTAACAGGTGCGACATTTGAACTTTTTATCGAGTATTGAAACTCTTCCGTGTTTATTCTTTTAAGTTAGCTTCTAAGCATTACAATTTACGAATATTTTCTCCAATTGTGATTTCATTTTCATTTCAATTTTTATGCTATGTAAGGTAATTTTTAAATCGATTTTAAGCGAAAACGGTGCATACTATCGAAGTTCATCATGAGGACCTTTTTTGTGTGTAAAACTCTGAAATTTTATGGTCTGATATCAAATCATAGCACAAGATACGTACAAAAAAATTAGGGTAGTTTTACCCCCACTCCTTATCTCTCTGACCCACCCCTTATGAAAAATTTGAATTTGTTATCATTCCAACTTATTGGCCATAAAAAGTTTGATTATATCCCAAAATTTCACTTTTCTATCTTAAACGGTTTTGTAGATATTAAATAAAAACCATCTTCAGCGGCTGCTCTTTCGGGGGTTGTAGCTCCCTTGGAAAGCATTTCTCGACCTATTTTTATAGGAACTGTTTTTGTTATTTTTGTGAGTAGAATCTGCTGTGCAAGCTAATTATGGGACACCCTGTATATTAAATTATCAGAAAAATGCCACACGTAATTAATGGATGCAGCTATTTTAACAGATGTAATTTCTGCACGTTTGTGTCAGAAAACCCAAATTTAAAATAATCATAACTTTTTATTTTTGAAAAGTCATTAGAAAATTGTGTTCAATCCTTTTATAACTATTAGTCAAATTGATTTGTTAGGGGTTAATATACCTCCTTTGCATGGAATGGCGTTAGTGCCCACCCTGCATATACCATACCATAATCGTACATGGCAAATGGTTTAGGTGTACCAGTGTTGTAACGACATTTCCCAAATAAAGATCACTTCACTACTTAATCCACGTAAATTATCTGACACAACTCACAAATAACATTACATTTTCGAAAATAAATCAAAAGCTACTTGCAGTACATTTAGTGCTGCCAGATTATGTCATCATTTGGTGTGAATTACCTTAATTACAAAAATGACATTCAACAATAATTATGTAACGTCAAATTTTCAATTTGCATTATATTTTTGTGTAATTTTTGTAATGAAGACCTGTCTATTTTTAAAAATAGAATCTAGCATCTTTTGTAATTTTTGTAATAATGCCCTAAGTACCTCAAACGCGATAGCATTTTAAAAATGGGGGTTATTTGTATGTACGCATTGATAGCAGCGCAACCTGGATTTTTCTTCACGTGGAGTGACTCAAAGTTGCAAGACCTGATCACACATGACATTAAATTTTTGGATTTTTGTTAGTGCAAACTTTTATTATATGTAAATGTGTAATACAAAAACAACATATTTTTTTTTATTTGTGATTAATTAATTAATTTACCGGTTCCATTAAAAAGTTTTTGAGCTAGGTTTGTAAAATTAAATTAAATATTGTTTATTTTGATGTTTTAAAAAGATTGATTTTTGACGTTTCAAAAATAACTTAATAATAACCAAGTTATGATGATTTAAACAATAAAAGATAAGGAAACGAAATTTTAACTATTATTTTATTTAGTAATGGCTTTTCAATGTCTATTCGGCTATATCATGGCATCCTCGATTTATATACAAGTTACTTTCATTTAGCAGTGGGAAAACTGATATTTACGAAAAGTTTAATTATGTGTAAACGGACATATAAATTAATTAGAAAAAAGTACATTTGAATAAATAATATATTTATATTTGGATATTGTTTCCAGTGGAGTGCCATATTTTTTTATAAAACCCCACGGCAATATTCGCAGCACGCCACTGAGTAACCAACAGTCATTTTTTCACTCGCAAGAGATCAACGGAACTGGCAAAGACCTTAACCTGCACCCTTATAAACTTCAATTTGTGCAGGAACTAAAACCAAATTATCTTAACTTACGGCGTGTTTTTGTAGAAAACATGTTGGAACGTTTTGCCAATTTGGATAACATTTTCTTTTCGAACGAAGCCCATTTTCATTTAAATGAGTACCTGATTGTGACCAATTTTTCATTACAATACAGATATTTAACCAATAGAAATGCGATATACGGCAATATTCTGTAAATATCAACTATAGCCTTGGATATCTGACAGATCTAGTATTTAACAATTTTGACAAGTAATTGATTTGAAGTTAATTTTCTATTTTATTATGATATGATCACTCCCATTTAATGGGCTAACATTGAATGATCATGGCATAATATACTATTGTAAACCACTAACCAAGTTGATATAGTTAAGTAATTTTTTTGAATGTTACTAATGTTATGGTGTCGACAATAGTAAATATATGAAATGTTTAGTAAATGTATTCAAGAAAAAACGTATTTGTAAAATAATTTTTTTTTGATTGGAAGGTTCATAGGTTATTGTTTTTGCTATGTTCTTTTTTCACTTTTTAAAAAGGTGGCAACCCTAGTCCCACCACGCGACTGTAATACAAATAATTAAGGTTAATAGTTTCAAAACTTAACTAAAACTGTATATTTTAGCTGAGTACTGTGTTATAATTATAAGAAATATACCCACGTTAAAACTACCTGTTTTATGCCAATCTAAATGTCACTTAAAAATAGGTATACTTTTAAGGCTCTTTATTATTACTCAAAAGTTTACAAACAGCAATATGAGTAAGTAGTTTATAAATAATTTAACAGTTTTTGTTTTGTTTTTTTAAGTCAACAGTAACTGATTAAACGTTAATGTTGCCTTAAAAACAATCACACTGACAAGCCAAAAGTTGATTTATTATCTATGAGTTGATGTCCAAATCAACCTAATTTATTTATAAAAAATAAAACTAAACATGATGGATATTTGTATTCTTAATAACGAAAAATGTATTTATTTCTAAATAAGGTTGTTATAATAAAAATGTAAAACATGGTACTTACAAGTCTTAGGTGACAAACATTCTTGAAAGATAAATAGCTAAATATTTTCCCTAAAACTTCTTCAGGTAAATCCAAAAGGTTTTTTGATTGCACAAGTCTGTTAAATTGCACTGTACCAATGGTTTGGATGGCACTATTTCTTGTAAGTTTTGCTGGTCCAGTTTCACTAGGTAATTGATTTGTTTCATTGCCATTGTTCACAATGGTCATTTGTCTGGTAGAAACCATCTTGCTTGCTTTCTAAACAATTTAATTCAATCAATTATTTTTAATTTATATATCGCCAGAACTAGATTAGTACTTTTTATCATTAAGATGTGCAACTCTTGGCGAAACTGTCAAAAAATAGGGTTATGCCAGTTTTTAAATTGTATCGTTAAAAATAGGCTACGAATCGTAGCCTAAGATTGTAGATAATATTTTTATGATAAATTTGGTTTTTACTATATTTTGAGTTCATTAGTACATTCTTAAAACAAGTACTAATAGCTTATGAGTCATAAGGTATGTCAGTTAATATAACTTATACATATCTAGCATAAGTTTACATGTTTTAGTCATCAGGGGGTGTTTCTTGATATTTGCAACTACTTTCTATAGAAAGCAATATACAAATCAGATAACTCTGTTGCAATCTATTTTTTTATAGTGTGCTGGGGGAAAATCTGTACTCTGTCTGATTGGTTGATCAATGGGGTAGTTAAATTTTTTCTGACCTATACTTTTTATGGTTTTATTCAAGGCGTTTTGTAATTTTAAACATTTCTGTGAAATCGGAATTTCAATTGAGTTTACCGTTTTCGAGATATTTACAAAAAAAAATCTCCTAATTACGTCACTAGGCTATTGACAACGTTGCCAGCTTTTTCTATGGTTGCCAGTGTGTTTAGTTTAAGATTCTTACGATAGATGGCGCCACATTATAATATTTTAGTTTTAAAACCACTTGATCTATAATTTTAGTTGAGAAGAAGAAGAAGAATTGATTTTTTGACGTTTCTTTTTTTCGGGTTATGTTTTTTTTAAATTTAGATTATTGAAAATCAATGTTATTGTTATGTTATTTGTAATTGATATTAGATAAGTGATTTATTAATAACGGACTCCAAAGCAGAGGAATATTGTGGAATGGTTGGTTACATTGAACATTGGAGCTTTTAAAGAAATAAAGTAAGTACCTATAATTATAACCATATTTTGTCGTAAATGCATTTCATTAACGTATGTAAGCTTAAAATTATGTATTATAGCAAAATTAATAAAAAAATGAAAACTATACACAAATATCATAAATACCATTGTTAACTTACATTTACTGTTATTTTTTGTAAATTTATTTCATTCATTTTCAGCTTTATTTTGCAACTTTTTTCTATGAAATATATTAAACTCTGCTTTAGACAGTTATTAGGTACCTATTTATTACATTTTATTAGGTTTCACACGGTGTTTCAATGTGTAAACCTATCAATAAAACTTTTAATTTCAGAATTTTCTTTAACCTCCTCTTCTTCTTCTTTCACTCAACTGACAGTGACAGTATTTGTACATAACCTCTTCGGGTATTTTCTGACATAACCGAATGAAATCATTAACAAGACAACTTGACAACAGGGTAATTTTCAACCAATAGAAATCTTAGAATGTTGGTCACATGGCGAGGTTTGTGACGTCATAAAAATTAATATTTTTTGTAAATATCTCGAAAACGGTAAACTCAATTGAAATTCTGATTTCACAGAAATGTTTATTATTACAAAACGCCTTGAATAAAACCATAAAAAGTATAGGTCAGAAAAAATTTAACTACCCCATTCCGATAAAAATCACTTTCCATAGATTAAAGTAAAGGTGGATTCATGCAAGCATGTCTTAAATTAACTTAACTTAACTTTGTACCAATCTTGTACTAATCTTTATCCCATGAAAATGAACCGTTCATACATGTACTATTATCTTAAGGATTTTACATGCGCATTATATATAAAATATAAAACAAACCCACAAAATACTAAATTTTTAAAAATGTAAATACAATGAAAGTAGCTACATTAGACTATGAAGTTGGCTACATTACCAGTACATGCGCATTTGCATATTTTTATTAAGAACTTAGGACATAAGGATCTTAAAGATAAAAGTAAATCAACTTTTCTTAGGATAAGGATTTAAATTAAGTTAGGTTAAGACGAATTTAAATTGCATGAACGGTTCCGCTCATTATTACAGTTTTATCTCTTTAAGATAAGGACAAAGACTAAGTTAGTATTAAGACATGCTTGCATGAATCCACGGTAAGTAAATTTTAAGAAACACCCCCAATATAAATGAAATAGCTATTTGTGTATTAAGAGCGCAAAGTGATACATTGCCGCGAGAAGTTTGACGCGGCTATCTCGCGAGAGCACTTTGCGCTCGAATTACACACAGGATTTTTTCTACAACCGGTGTTTCTATAATGAATATTTCATAAAAATTAATAATTATTGATAACCTCAAATTTGACGTTTGTGTCAGAAGTCGCAAATACACTAAACGTTTCTTTATTATGGTTTCCATGGTAACTAAGTGAGCGACAAAGTAAATTTGTCGCTCGGCGAGCGAAACAGTAAATTTGTCGCTCCTCGGAAAAGTGCAACTTTGCGCTTTCTTTTGGAAGCGCAAATTTGTACTTTTCGCTTGGTTGTAGAAAAATAAAATTACAGTTAGCTAGATAGCTATACAGCTTAAGGTGACATTCTAAAAATAGTTATAGCTAGCATAAAGATTAGGGTGTCTAAAAAACGATATAGTTTTTTTGCTGTTTCTTAGATTATACCAAAATAAAAATTCAATAAAAATCGCAACTCTTAATTTTAATTTTAAGTGGTTTCCAAGAACTCTGTTTAGTGTTTTTGGGTTCTTCATTAAGTTTTTTACGCAAAACATTAGTTATAGAAACTTGAGTTAAAATTTTTTGTAGAGAATTTAATGCCCCTAAAGGATCAAGTCATTTATATGAAACAATGTCTACATGGGTAAATTGCAGCAAAAAAAATAATAAAAAATATCATTTTCCTGTTATTTCAATGGGAAATACCACGTCGTTCTCTATACCTAGATAGAGAACGCCGTGGAAATTTCTATTTAAACTTGTTGAGGAACCTCTTAAAACTGAAATTATGAGTTCGTTTTTTACAGAATTTTCATTTCAGCATAATCTAAGAAATTTTCAGGATACAGCAAAATAAACTAAAATCTACCTTAGTTATGTTTCATGTTGATACATGAAAGTTGCCATTTTTAAGACAGTTTTTCTGGCTAAAATTGACCATTTAAGCAGCTTTAGCTAGCTTAATTGAAATTCTATACATACATATATATCGCTCATTCAAAACAACAATGACACAACCCAAAAATCAGTTTTTGAGAAAACACATTTTAAATTTCTTATTAGGGATGCACCGGATCGGGTATTTTGCCGATCCGGCCGGAACCGGAATTTCGGCCGCTGGCCGGACCGGATCGCCGGAATTCCGGCCGGATCGGGACCTAAATTTAAAATGTATGTGCATGCCTATTTTTATACGTAAAACATTGAAAATATTGAGGCTGATTTATTTTTACTTTTTTTTAAAGTAGCTACAGTATGCAGAGTGTTTATTACTATTAATTTTACCTAGATAGAAATTACTTTTTATTTAAATATTAATTTTTAATTAGCGTTAAAAAAAATTAAAACAATTCTACTCATTCAATTGGAGAATAGCAGCCACCTGCCAAAAATAAAAAATTAAAAAGAATTTGGGGAACCACAGCCGCCGGTCTATCATAGGCAGGGAAACACGCACACCCTTCACTGTTGACCAATTACAAAATATATCTGGAAAGCGATCCGGCCGGAACGGTAGTTCCGGCCAACTGGCCGGATCGGCCGGATTTAGTGGTACCGCCGGAATTCCGGTGCATCCCTATTTCTTATTACTGTTTTTTAGAGAGTATGCTTAAACAACAAAATATTTGAGCCCAGCTTTTATTTTTTTAGCCCAGCTTGGTTAATAGAAAACAGTAATAACAAATTTAAAATGCATTTTCTCAAAAACTGTGATTTTTGAGTTGTGTCACTGTTGTTTCAACTGAGCGATATATCTTGGTATTGTTTTATTGTTGAAATGTCATAAGGGTAAACCACTGATTCTTTAAAATAAAATAATTACATACAAATTACTTAACAGCTAAGTAAAAAATAGCAAGGGAAGTCATAAGCAAAGTGTCGCTAAGAGAAATATCTTATTGATAAGAATTTTTCATTATTGATTATCTCAATGGTTTTAAAGTGGTTTACCCCTCGGAAATGTCCAACAATGTTTGGAAAACTTAGAAACCTCCATTAATTTTCATAAAGTATGCTACTTTAAAGGTCTGTTTGTAGCCCTGCACCAGTGTACTTTAATGCATGAATATTTAAATCTGATTGTTCAAGAATTGCACTATGTGTATGAAAGTGTAGCATTCGAACATGCCATACATAAAAATAAACACACAACTCTTTCTTATATTAATTCCCAAAAATATGGAAATTCAAATCTTACTATAACTTATTTAGTTAATGCGATAGATTTGGTTTTTACTATAATTTTTATCAAAAATTGTATTGACATGTTTTGTTTAAGTAATTAGATAATTAATTCTGTCAAAAGTTTAGACAGCATCAAGTTATAGAATAAATTATTAATTTCCACCAAGTTTTACCATCAAACGACTACAAAAACTTTACATTATTATAAAAAATCCCACAAACTTACCTTTAGAGATGAATTTGTTTTCTTTAATTTCAATGTTTTACATTTTTTTCACTAGCATTTGAGTTGATTGTTCAGTTGTTCGCGAAGTAAATGGTTAATAAAAGGCAAAATGTTAATAAATCATACTTCAAACAAATAAGAAACTTAGTACATAAGTTGTATATAAATGAAAATTGTTTAAGAACTGTATAAATCGACGAATATAAAACTAAACTTCGAGAACTTTGTCATTGCTAGAATCAAGAACGACAAATTATTTCATCCATACTATGCACATGCGCGGTAAACGAACATTATGCGCGCCAAGTGATCAAAATTAAGACTAAAAAATTCAGTTACAGAACGAACTTTGTTTCAATTTTTTAAGATGTTTATGACCCAGATTGATTTAAATTTCTGACAAATTTTAACCAATAAAGAAATATAGTCCTACTAATAAACAAAATATCAAAATAAAACAGAAAAAACGCGGTTATAAGAATTTTTATTTATAAGTATTTTCTTGTAGCATTTTTTTTCTTAAAATAGTCACATTATTATTTACTTGCAAATATACAATACCCCTTATAAGGTTACCTTATTAAGGTAGTATCTCCATTTAAAGAGTTTGATAAATAAATAACCAAATGTAAATAAAATTTAAATAGCAATAGGCCGTGACAGCAAATTCAGCGGTGCTAATGTAGTAAAAAATAAAAGGTAGTATTAATTAACAAATTAATACTTTATAACAAATTAAAGTATCACTAAAACTAAAAACAACATAAAAAGTAAATTAGTAACGATATAAATTTTTAATTTGTTGTTTTAATGACAAAATTAAAGTATAAAACTTTCATACCCGGACAACATTCGAGATATTCATACGAACATCATGTCGTGATTTTCACAAATTTTATTCATACTGATATCATACAGAAGTCACCGCGTGATAAATGAAAATCATAGGATCGTCACGTCGTGATTTTCACAAATTTTATTCATACGGACATCATCCGGATATATATTTTTTGTAATAATGGTTGCATATTTTTGATATATTAATTTTGCATTCTAATCTTAAGATTGGGTTTACCTTTTATCACGCATATTATTTACCAAAATGAGGTTTGCCAAAATATTTTTAAATAATTTAAAACGCAATACAAACTTTCTTTTTTAAAAACATGTTGATCTCTGCGGTAATTTCTGAACAATGCCTGATTTGACAGCAGCTTTCCAACATAACCATAAATAAACAAACAGGATTTTTTTCTTGGATTTTCCTTGTTTTTGATTTGTTTTTTAGTTCGATAAAGTGTTAATTCAACAATGACAACCAGAAAAAGAAGTGGTTCGGGATCTAAGAGACATTTTCGCGAGAAAGTCGTTCAAATTTACGAATGTATATTTAAAGGGGAGGACATGTCAACTAATAATATACTATTTTGGGAGGAATTCTTTCTTCTCAAGCCCAAAGTTTCAATAATCGAATCAGAAATACAAAAAATGACATTGGAGCAGTTTACTGCATCCAAGCAAAATATAAACTTAGTTTTTAATCAAGGCATAGATATTTTGGACCAACAGAACAGCATAAGGGTTGCTTACAGCCTGCAAACTTTGTGTGCTATTTTAAATTCAATATTTAAAAAGGCGATTGACGCTCAAATAGACTGCATTGAGTTTTTGACTGGATTTGAGAATTATGAGACAAAAATACAAAAGTTGCTTACAATTTGCCAAACATATCTAGAAGGTGAATTACCGGAGGTAGTAAAAAGCCTATGCTTAAAAATAATTTTAATTTTAATAACAGGAATAGACTCTATAAACCAAAATTCACTAATAGAATACATAATGATATCTTCGTTATTTGACTGCTTAGTAAAATTACTTTGCGATGTTCCTACAAGACAAAGGCATGGATATGATGTAGTATTAATAATAACCTTGCTTGTAAATTACAGAAAATATGATGCTGCAAATCCATATGTTGTAAAACTGTCAATTTTAGATGATGAATTAGCTTTAAACGGTTACGGTCAAGTTATTACTTCATCTTTATCAGAGTTCTGTAATCAATACAATAATGAACATACTGAAAACCAAAACTCCTCTTGGTTTTCTTCATTGACAAACATGGTTGGGAATATTTTCATTTCTGAAGAGGGAGGATTCAGGACACAGCAAGTGAGAGCTAATAATGCTCTATTATTGGCTTTTTATGAGGCCATACATTTAAATAGAAATTTTATAACCACTTTGGCTCACACTCAGACTGACAGCAGCTCACCTCCATCACCAAATAGTACACTTAGTAATATTCAGGGGACCCCAGATTTGTCTAATGTGCAAGCCACTTATGATATTACAAGTCAGCCTTCCAATTTGCTTGTTATTTTCTTCCAATATTGGTAAGTGGTATTATATAATAATAATATTATTATTAATTATATATAATTATAATTAAAATTGTGATGATAGGTAATAACTATTAGGTATTGCACAAGGACTATGATAGTCCGGTCAAATTAGACCTAAAAATAACAGTGAAGGTACATAAATTTACAACAGGCTGAAAATCAGTAAAATTGTTCAGAATATAATTATAAATAAAATTTTAAAGTTCCCCATCATTCCCCTGTATGGAAAAAATTTTATTCAAGGTCAAAGGTCAAAAAAATTAGTTTTTTGCGATTTTCAGCAAAACGGGAAGTTTTATCACAAAAATATTTCCGACAAAAATTGTAGATCATAAAATTGTCTATAAAAAATATATCGATACTTTTTTTCCTAAGAGCCACCGTTTCTGAGATATAACGATTCGAAAAGTTGTAAAAGTTGAAATCGTCATAATATACATGAGTACGTCACGTATATACATCTCTAGAGTTTTAATATATGTTAATATATTTTTCTATCAGTCATTTTCACTTACACTTAAAATATAAAATATACCTACATAAGTTATAACTATAAGAATATCAAGTGAAATAAAACCCAGTCCCTTAAGGATAAATTAATTAATTTATACGCCATCGAGACAACATCTGTGACAGATGACAGATGATCTGTCATCTGTCAACTTGACATCTGTCACCTGTCATCTGTCACCTGTCATTTGACCCTGTCAAATGCCACCTGTCATTTGCCACCTTATCGATTTGATTTCGGGGATTTTAATTGGTTAACTTTTTTAAATACACAACAAAAATTAAACGGGCTTCTGGCCGATTAGTTTTCATTCGATGAAGCTCATCTTTTAGTATGTCAAACTTTGGTCTTTTACCCGTCGATTCGTGTATTTCGTTCGGCCAATTTCGAAAATTTCTCTCGCCCTAAAAAACGTTTAAAATTTTTTCGAAAAAAATAAAAAAAGATCGAAAAGTTTCCGGCGGATCCGGCCCGTTTGCAATATTTATTTTTTCCGTTGTCTGCTAGTCTGTATATCCTTTTTTTTCTAAGCGTCGTAGCTCGGAGGCCGTTGAAGGCGGACACTCGAAATTTGCATCCTTTTTTCTGCCCACGAGACCTATCCGCGGACCAAATTTTTCCGGTGTTGAAAAGGCCCAAGTCCACTTTTTTTCGATTTTTCCGTCAAATTTGGCACGTTCCGTTGTCTTCACTTAACTTAACTTAACGAATGAGCGGAGATTTTTCGGCCAAACTCGAGGAAAAGGTGCTTCGGGATAAGAAGTTATCACCAACGGCATTCGATTTCTTCTTTCTATATACGGAGCTCCTAAAAAAACTACCTGCTTTGATAAGTATCGATATGCATGTTTCGTTAAAAATACTAAAATAAAAAACAAGTTCAATTAGCTTGTCTTCCTCCAACCTCAGTTGCTGCTCATCAAAATATTTTTCGGGTATATTACCAAGTTTAAGTGTGGCTTGGTTATCAGCTAGACCCTACAGACTGGGGTTGGAAGTTGGCCAACAACCCATTAGAACCAGTTCAAACTTTACTCCCAACTGCGCCGGAAAAAATGCTGAACACAATTTTTTGCAACTGCAAAAAGGGATGCAGTGCTAAATGTGGTTGCAAAAAAGTCGGACTGTTTTATTCTCTGGTATGTACGAATTGTCAAGGCCGGTCGTGCTCTAATGTTGAATCACCAACAGTGGAGGATTCATTTAATTCCAACGAGGTGACATGCGATACATCGCTACTGACGCAATTTACTTGTACCCAGGATGAAGATGAAGAAGAAGAAGAACAAGAAGAAGAAGAACAAGAACAAGTAGAAGAATAAGAAGAAGAATTTAAATGTTACGAATCAGACTAATTAACTTCAGTTTTTTTTTTAATTTATATCGATTTTATCTTTTTCAATCATTGCTAATTTCCGTTATTTTGCAAATAGTTTCAAATTAAACAGGATCACAACTGACCCGTGGAATAGGCTACTGGGGAAACCACGTTAAAAAACGCGCTAAGTACACTACCTAATAGGTGGCGTGGAAACGTGTGCATATTATGACGATTATAACTTTTACAACTTTTCGAATCGTTATATCTCAGAAACGGTGGCTCGTAGAAAAAAAAGTATTGATACATTTTTTATAGATAATTTTATGATCTACAATATTTGTTTGGGGTATTTTATGATAAAATTTACCGTTTTGCCGAAAATCGCGAAAAATCATTTTTTTGACCTTTGACCTTGAATAAAAATTTTTCCATACAGGGGAATTATGGGGAACTTTAAAATTTTATTTATAATTATATTCTGAACAATTTTACTGATTTTCAGCTTGTTGTAAATTTATGTACCTTCGAATGTCTAAATTGACCGGACTATGATCTTAGTTTTATATATTTTTTTTTCCTAAATACTTACTCAATTATTTTTTTCTATTTAAAAACAAATATTTTAGATAATGCTCAATGTTTTTCTTGTTAAGAGAATGTTCTTTTTTAACAGGTGTTGAATATTTTACTCATTTTGCTTTTAATAAAATTATAAAAATTAAAGTATATTTAATAATTTTGACTAAAACTTCTATTTGCAATCAATTTTGCGGGATCCTACCCCCTTCATATTAAGTTAAAAAATAATTGTTTTTATTTTTTTTTCTTGAAAACTGTTTTAGAAGAAAAAAATAATTTATATTGTGCTACCAAAAACAATTAACGCTTTAATTGAGAAAGTTGTTTTCTACGATATACCGTTTCGAAGTTATAGCGCATCTTAATGCGGTACTCGCAGTGGCGGCTGGTGGGTTTTGGGCACACCCATATCTCAGTTATTAGACATGGGACCCACATCAAATTTATATGAGTTTATAATAGACAAGTTCTGCGCAAGCAGAATTTAAATTAAAGTTTGCGAAAAAAAGTTAGTTTTTAAGTGCAACCCCCAGCCTCCTGCCCCTCCAAATTAAGATAATTCAAATTAAAGTGTACAATATTTAATTCACTGAAGTTTATCGAAAAATTTCAAATTTTATTAAGAAAATTCAAGAATTACAGGTTTTATACCATTTATAATTTTTATTATTTCTTTTACTAAATTTGAAAAAATTTGAAATGGTATAAAATCCTAAAATACTTGAATTTTTTTGAAATTTGTCGATAAACTTCAGTAAATTAAATATTGTACCACTTTAATTTGAATTATCTTAATTTGGAGGGGCAGGAGGCGGGGGGTTGCACTTAAAAACTATATTTTTTTCGCAAACTTTAATTTAAATTCTGCTTGCGCAGAACTTGTCTATATAATGTCATTATAAACTTATATAAATTTGATGTGGGTCCCATGTCTAATAACCAGTGTTGCCAATGGTGTTGACATAATTTACACACAGATTCAGTCAAAATTCCACAATTTTGCCAACTATTCCACACATTTGGGATTTTGGTTTTGTTAGGTTTCTTTGGTGATTAGTAATCACTGATACCATTAGTAATCACTGATTACCGCAGAAAGAGTTAATGAGGTGAATCACCACAAAAACTCTTTCTGCGGTAATTACTGGTGATTACTTAAAGGCGTTTTCAAAAACTTACTAGATTACTTACTTTGTCAAAAAGTCTATTGTTATAACCGGTTTTAAGTTACTCGATAACTTACGCTTGCAAGTTTCCAAAAACACCAGATTTTTTTAATTTTTAAATTAAGCCGAAATCACTTTGCTGTATATATAGAAATCTCCACAGAAATTCGTCCATATAACTAAATAACTAAAATGCGCATTTGCATATATATCTATTTAAATGCTTGTTATAAGCATTGTTTATGTTTATTAGATAAAGTTTACACGCAAATTCCACACATTTATGTATTACACACAAATTACACACAACAAAATAAATTCCACACAATGCGTGGATTGGCAACACTGCTAATAACTGAGATATGGGTGTGCCAAAATCCACCAGCCGCCACTGGGTACTCGAAATATTACTCCTAAACGGTCTATCGTCTGAAAAATTTAGCAAAAATATTGTAGGTTTTTACTAAATAAACAACTTCTCAATTTCAATGCTGCGTAAAAATAAATTCGGAGTAAAAAGCAATAATATGCATGCCTAGCTGAAACATAAATGAGCAAAATGCATGAGAAATCACGGCTTAAAATGAAAAAAACTATATTCAGGGTTGGTATAAATACCACTCTATTTTTAGTTGGTTCTTTTTTACAAACCAAAATTTTAAAATATATATAAAACATGTTTCTAAAGAGTAAAACTATAATATTGAAAAATATTTAATTTTACGTAAAACTGGATTATTAAATATATAAAAACAAAATTATAACTACCTATATCCGATAACAAATGTTTTGTTTATTTTGATTTTTATTAATTTTTCGTCAATTTGTGCGATTTTTTATTATCAATTACGTTAAAAGCCTTATTTACTTTTGCTCTTTTGTTTAACACTTTTAATGAAATTAGTAAAAATTTAATTTAAAATAAAGATTATAATATGTATACAGGGTGTTACTGTTTTTTGTCGCATAACTTAATAGTGTTAACATAACTTAATTAACACCTAATACCTAGAACTTTTAAAATGAATGCAAAAGTGCCTATAAACATAGGCCGTCAAACGCTCAGTTTTCGAGATACACAGTGTTTAAATCAATTGTAAAAATTTAATTTTTTTAAATTATTGTACGATAAAGTTAACATTTTTGACGTATTCAATTAAAAAATGGTAGGTATATAGGGGTTTTTAAGAAAACTTTCTATGGGCCACTAGAGGGCGCGCCCTGTATTGTACTTTTTATGGATTAAACATTAAAAAAAAAACTTACTCTTGTCAAAATCCGTTTAAAGTAGCAGTTTTTAAGATATTTGGATTTTTAGAGTAGCAGTTTTTAAGATATTTGGATTTTTAGAGTTTGTAATGATTGCCTAACTATATATAAATATTATAATGTTTTAAAGTTCGGCTTTTGCTGAGTTATTTATTTATTTATTTGTATCCAACAGGCCCAGGGCCCAATAAAAGGATTACGTTTTTATACATTTTATTTTTATATTTACTCCAACTTCTAAACTATCCTTAATAATCCCCATATCCGTATCCATATAATAAGTACCCATATTTCATGTTTTCATATAGGTATATTAGAATTTTTATCTTCTAATTCTCACAAACATTTTTGCTTTAACTTTGACATTAGGTACTTATTTATTTAAAAAAATAAACTGGTTCAAATTGGTTTGAAATGTGTTTTGGCGCTATGAATCACCAATTCATTCCAGTTGCATTCCTATTGGTAAGTTCCAATGAAGTCAGCGGCTTAAATTGGAATATACCAATCCATGCCTATGCTTTTCTCTATTGGCTAAATCCAATAGAAATGCACCTGAAATGAATTGGTAATTCATAGCGCCAAACCCATGGGTTTGAATGCATTCAAACTAATTTGAACCAGTTTATTTTTTTAAATGTGGATTAAAAATACCAGTTGATTTTTCATTGAAAAATAATTAAGATCCCAGAAGAATAACCGGGTAAAAACCAGAATTCATTTTTTACAGAAGAGACAAAAAAATTATTACAACTGAGTAACTTTATTTCTTTATTATTAGTTAGTGAGATATGTATTGATACATATAACTTACTAACACAAAAAAAGTAATAAAAAATAAATAAAATTACTCGGTTATAATCATTTTTTTGTCTTTCTTGCAATGTTTGTAGGCATGGTCGAAATCAATATACCATTCTCATGCCATTCTCACGCCATCGTCACTAAACCTTACGGTCATTTACAACAGGGGAGAGCGTTTTCTTGATTTTTAAAAATTTAAACTTACATAGTTTGTCAAATGCTGGATTTTTAATTAATTTGAACATTCTGTATCTCGAAAACTAAGCGTTTGACAAGCTAGGTTTATATGAACTTTTTGCATTACTTTTAAAAGTTATCAGGTGTTAAAGGCTGCGACAAACAATATGACCTGTAGGTATATAGTATTCGTAATATTCCAATATGTATACTATAGTATTAAAAAATATTTAAAAAAATATTTTTTTGTATTTTTTTAGTTCAATAGTTATGCAAGACACAAAAACAGAAGCGGGCACAAACACGGTAAAACTGGCTTTTCTTATTTTGGGTTGCATAACAGAAGACCAATATGCTAACTCCTTAATGCATGATGTGAGTCTTGCTTTTAAAGTACTATTGCACAGATTACCAATGAGGCATAGAAAACTAAATCCAGATAAAACCACATCTTCCCAGCCCTTAGTCTGCACCCTCCTTGGTAAGATCTATAGTGCATGTAACAATTTTTACACTGGTTGTGTTTTTTTTAGATTTGCTCATAGAATTTATACTGAGTCATATGATGAAGAAATTTCCAATGGAACTGTACATTCTATGCTTGGGTATTATTCAACGAATACTTTGCCATCAAAAGAAATGCAGAATAAGATTAAACTACGCCTGGAAAGAACTTTGGACTGCCTTAATTTCTTTACTCAGATTTATCTTGCAAAACGAAAACTATTTGGGAAAAAAAATGAACATATTCGATTTGTGCATCAAAATAGTAAATATTCTCAACTTTTTTATTACTTATGGCGATAACTTTTTGCCAACCCCTGGTAGCTATGATGAACTTTATTACGAAGTGATTAGAATGAATCAAGTGTTTGATAATATTTATTCAATGGGGCTGAGATACTCGATGGGAGAGGGAGATTTTAAGGAAGATGCTTTAAAACTGAACAATGCCTTATTTAATGTTAGAGCTATAGTCAAGCATTTTAATCCTAAAATAGAACAGTGGCTAGTTTCGGCTAATCTATCCACGCCAAGTGAAGAACAAATATTGGACATTGTCAAAAAGAATTACGATAGTCTTACCTTAAAGTTGCAAGACTTCTTGGATCATTATGAGAGATATACTGAAAAACCAAATTATACGCCGTTCTTCAGGAATATGGTAACTAATATTTTATCTGATACAAGGACTAGTGTGAGCTGTTCTTTATTGAATTTTACGAACATTGCTTGTGAATATCCTATTTTATAAAATTTTGTATTTATATATTAATTTACTGTTAAATGTTGAAACAGATTTTTAACCAAAAATTGTATTAAATAGAGATAAGTCAATAAATATATTTTATGTTCCTAATTATTATATTATTATTATTACTTACTGTAGTTTTTATGTGAAATAAGTAATATGATTACATGTAAATTATAGTAAATTATAATTTACCAAGGGTCAGAAGTTTACAATTTTTTTTTAAACAAATTTATTTAAGTCCCTTTACATACATTTCTTCTATTTTTAGGCCTCGAAAATTATTTTTAAAAGTGAGAAGTAGTTTATAATTTGAATATCACATAAACTACTTCTTACTTTTAAAAATATAATTATAATTATAATCGCGCTGCACGAAAGGCGCGCGCTCGAACAAAATAAATAACTGCAAATTAGACAACTTCATATGAACTTGCCTAATTGCAGTTATTTATTTTAATAGAGCGCGCGCCTTCCGTATATATACTATAGTATGGGGCGCCGTTTTTTTTTGTCCAGGAATCAGGGGCGGATGGGCTCCGGCGGGACGTCGGGACAGATCCCGGTGGGCCGCTATGTCAGATTGGCCGAATGGCCCAAAAAAATATAAAAATACAACACCTAAGGCCTTATGAAAATTTCACCCCTTATAATTATGTGAAATTAATTTCACATAAAACTTCGTAATTTATATTGGTTTTTTTATTAAATTTTTTTACGAAATAATAAATTTTAAATACATATTTTAACAATGAAACGGGTATTTGTTTTTTGTCACATAAGAATGTCTATTCATTTTAAAAATTCACTACATTAAATTTTTTTATAAAAAATATGTATTTTTAGGTTATTTTTCAGTAGGTATCTTAAGTAAAAATTCCAATTTAAAAACTCCTGAACACCCAAAACCAATATGGAAAACCATATAGAAAAGTGATTTCTATATGGATTGCCATATAGGTTCAGATTGAACCATATTGGAGCTCTATTTGGCCCAATATGGTTTGGGTATGAAAAAATTATTACCATATTGACCCATAATTAACCATATAGGGAAAACCAGGTCGTTCCATATAGGACATATAGAACCATATAAATCCATATTAGTTTCCTTATCTGGATCAATATGGGTTCTATAGTGCATTTTTAATAGGATAGTAAGAGTGGGTAGATTTTTGTTTGATTTTACATACGAGTATCACCCAGAAAATGCGTTCTATACAAAAATTTTGTAAAATTTTAGTTTGTTATCTATGTAATACTTGGATTTGCATAATGCTGTGTTTGTGGGACTTAAAAAAATTTAAAATAAAAACAAATAGGTGAGTTAGGGGGACAATTGCACCCCTTGGTCCCCTCCTGTATTCGCGCATGCTTAGAATCTTAGATTTTTGCATAATTTAGGGACGTCCATGAATCTCGTAAAGCTGGAGGGGAAGGTCTTTTTAAAACGTCAGGTGACAAAATAAATCGAATAAAATTGCTTATTCGTTCCATTTTTTTTTGACCATTTTTAGCTTCACGAGATTTATATTTATGAGTATGAGTATGGGAACGTATGGCAGGCCCCAAAGACATTATCCTCCACTAATCTCCCAGGGTTATTTTACCCCCTTTCCGTTCTCCCGCGTATCCCGCCAAATCACAGTATTACCTGTGTTTGTTGGATCCGAAGTTTTTACGCCGGCTGGTAGATCCACCCTAGGAGGTCGTGGATGACAGTGTCTATGGTTAAGGCCGCTCCACGGATTTTTGTCAGCCGGGTCGGGCCATACGTCCAATTTAGGAAGGGATTTTTGGAGGACATTGAACTGACCCAAAACTAAGTACAATCCGGAATCCTCCTCAACCTGGGACTAGAAGTGGGGGTAGAAGTGTTAGTACGCTGCTAGAACGTGTCCTTGTTGATGTATTTCTAAACATCTCTGTCCGAGTCAGTATCAGGTTCCTGGTAACCTCTTTAGAATTGTTTGCTCCCCTGTGTGATACTGAGTCTTGTCTTCCGTACCGAAGTGTTGACGGCCATGACACACCGTAAGTGCCCTCTGCCTTGGTGGATATTCCTCCTGCCGAGTGCCGGCTACCAACCTTGTATATTCTTTATTTATTTTATTGTTAAATTTTGTGTTTATACCGTTTTAATTTAATTTATATCTTTGCATTCTTACTTTTTTTCCAAATTTAATGTAAAAATATAAATATTAATATACAAAATAGCTAAAGACGGCCCTGCATTGGCTATTGAGAGGGTCGTTCTTCTTATCTTCTGTGATGTTCTTGTATTTTTGAGCTTATGTTTATTTGGCTTTGATTTATGGCTGTTATCTTAAATGCATATACAATATTACCTATTCACACACAACACTTATTTATGATCTAAATTTTTTGTCGTCTTGCTTGATTTGGTTTATTTACTCTTACGCCTTTTTCAGTTTGTTGTTTATGATTTGTCTATATTTTGAGAAAATGAGGTTGTTAGTTTAACACTTACGGGAATGTTATCTTATTATTTTTTAAAATTTAGTTTTTGAGACAAATAAAAAGAAATCTTAGACAAACAATGCTTATATTAGAGATTTTTCATAATTTACTGTTTAAACCGTTTTATTGAAATCTTTGTACATTTTTGTAGTAAAAATGTATATTCAAAACTGTACGAGTTTAATTAAACACTGTAGGTATCATTCGACTTTTAAATAAACAATTATGCGCATTGGTCGTATCGTTGTTAATAAGACATGCAATTAGAAAAATTACTTAGCTTGATTATTAGGCTATAATCCTGATGCTTTGTCTTTCAAGGGCTGTCCGTTGTTCCTTGACCTCGCCTGCAGGTTTTTTGCACGTGCACGCTCTGATTGTGGCAAATCTCTACTATCTAGTTGGGCCGGTTGGCTTATTGTTGTGGCCTAGGCTAGGCTAGCTAGCCTTAATTACTTATTCACTTGCACACTTTTACGGCGTTAGCCGGGGTCCTCCCGCACTTTTCGCACTTGTTGCACTTTTCGCACTTATTTGTTTATTTATTTATTAATTACCGATATTTCCGGTTACTTAGATTCGTTTTTGGTACTTTACTACGTTTGTACCGTATACGCTGTTTAGGAGGGATTTCGTTAACTATCTTAACCCGTCCTACCACTTCAAGTGTTTCACGAGATTTATATTTATAAATAATTTTTTAGTATTTTAAGTAAAAATTATAGTTTAAAACCCTCCTGATTTTTTTTCATATTCTGTAATAATTATGTGTCACCATAATTACCGATTGAGAACAACCAAAATTTTTTATGATTTTTTTTCGATTCAGTAGTTTCCGCATAATAAATTTACTAAAAATATAATTTTTTAAGTAAAATCAATAACAGAAATATTTAATTATGGAAAACCACTCCGCGTGAAAATCAAGGTACCACTTTCACTCTATAGGCAAATAGTATTTGGGGAATGCAATCTTGCAGCAAAATGTGCAATCTTGGTATTGCAAGATTGAAGAGGTCTAATTTCGCAAGATCTCGGTATTTTGCGAGATCTCGCAGATTTAACCAGTAACTGGTGAGGTGTTTTTTTCCAAACCACACCGATTCTAAGAATCTGTAGCTTCCGGCCAGTTGTCCGTGAGTACTCTACCGCGCGATATTTTACTTGGTTTACAATATTTTAGTACGAATTGGGGTTTGCGTAACCCCATCTCACCAGTTTACTAGTTTACTAGAAATACGATTTTTTTTAAACTTTGTTCCTTTGCAAACATACATGTATGTTTTTGAACGAATTTTAGAAACGTGTTTCGCTATTTTCTATTTTTTTTATTCTATATTTTCAGTTTAATTACTTTTACTGCATTTAAAAATAAGTTTTAAAGTAAGTTTTGTGAAGCCCCACAATAAAATTTAATTACCGCTAAAATTTTTGTTTTTTTTTGTAGGTATGAAGTGAATAACATACGCGTTATTTTATTTTGATTTCGCAGAATCGCCGTTTTCATTTGAGGTTTGGCAAACCCCACCTCACCATGGTGAGTTTTTTGTTACATAACTGCAGTTATGTAACAAAAAAGTGACCTCACCAGTTACGGGTTAAGATTAATAAAAAAAGAAATTACTTTGTTAGGTTATATCGTAAGGGCAAAATAATTAAATAAAACATAAATTAAATAATTTATTTAAGAATAATCTTCAAGCTATTGAACCAAAGAACATAAACATGACTAAAATTATTTATTGAAAAAACTATAACTAATTCTCAAAAAACACAAAACACACATATGTGTGTTTTTTGAGAATTATGGAATGCGCTGCGTCCCATATAACATATCCCATATAATGCGCTGCGTCCTTATCTCGCAAATCTTGCGAGATCGCGCATGATTTTTCGTGCAAGACTAATCTTGCAGAATTGATGCGAGATCTTGGTATTTCGAGATCTTAGTATAACGAGATTGCATTCTCTAGCAAATACATAAGGATTTGGCGGAAGGGGTTGTAAAAAAACAAGGTGGGCCGCTTTTACAAAAACCGTCCCGAGCCGTTTAAAACATGCCCATCCGCCCCTGCCAGGAATTATTTTTATATAAAACACATATGTGTTAACCCTAGAGTTATATTTTTAATTAGATAAAAAATATCACATTAGAATTTTTATTTTGCGGGTTAATAATATCATAGCAGATATTATAAAATTAGAGTTAATTTTTATGCCAAACTGATATTTTTAATTTAGTATATATCGAGTATATCGGTATATATAAAATATCTGTTTTTTATATTTTTATTTTTTGTTAAACACATATTTTTAATTCGCTTGATTAAAAATATCATAGGAGAAATTTTTAAATGTTTTAAAAATATCATAAGTAGGAGATATTCGATTTAATTTTTATTTTATTAAATAAGCAGATATTTTTAATTCCGACCGAAAGTTTGGACACCCCTGGCATTACAAAATAATTTTATCGCTAGATGGCGGCAAAATCATTAAGATGTACGACGTACGTGATTCCGATGCAGTGTTGCCAGATTGGGCGATTTATCACAAATTGGGCGATTTTTAACTCGCTCTGGCGACCATAAATTTACAAAAATCACAAGTCGCCATTTGGGCGATTTTCGGCGCTAGACCGGGGTCAGCCCCAAGGAGGGTAAAATAATTCTCCTTGACTCACCAAAGCTATGATCGGAATAATATAAATAGGTTCATCGACATAAAACATATGTTTTATGTCAATGTTGAATATGTAAATATGTAATATAAAGGCAGATTTTACGCTGATTGTAAATGTTAACTAAACGATGTTATTTAAATAAAAATCATGCGTGAACATGTTCAGTTATTTTTTTATTTTACAAGTAAAAATTCACAAAAAAATGTACTTAAAAAAACTGGCGACTTTTACTTTATTTTGGCGACTTTCGCCGCCTCTGGTGGCGACATGAAATTTTTTTATCTGGCAACACTGTTCCGATGTCGCACTCACCCAGCGTGTGCTGAACAAGGACAGTGCGCGTTAGTTTGTTGTTGGAGTGGGTCGGTTTTTGTGTCGTTTGGAATAACGGCCTGTCTTTAACAGGGGTATCCAAACTCTAAATCAGTCGGAATTAAAAATATCACGATGAATTAAAAATACCTCCTGACATTTTTAATACATTTAAAAAATAATAATATAACAATTTATTATGATATTTTTATTGACTAAGGAACTTCACTCCACGATATTATGATATTTTTAATTTAGAGAATTTAAAATATGTGTTTAGCAAAAAAATAAAAGTATAAGAAGCAAATATTTTAAATTAACTAAATAAAAATATCAGTTTGGCATAAAAATTAAATCTAATTTTAAAATATCTGCTATGATATTAATTCGCAGAATAAAAATTCTAATGTAATATATATTTTTTATCTAATTAAAAATATCACTCTAGGGTTAACACATAAAATTAATTCCTGAATAAAAAAAAATAAAACGGCCCAACATAGACATAAAAATAACGAAAAATAATATCAAATAGGTATTTTTTTTAACAAAAAGGAAAGTCTGGCCCTAAAGGGTTAAATTACACCGCTATTTTGCCAAGACAGCACAGAGCACTCTGGGCACAGAGGACTCTGTGCACAGAACATAGAAAACCATAGAACTATTAATATTAATAATAATATATAACCTATTAGGTTCATTCCAACCAGCAGTAATATTACCGTAATATTATCGTCCGTAACAGCGTTAATGCGACTGCGCGAACAAAAATAGTAAAATTATTTTGAATAATGTATAAACTGGTTGGAACCTTTTTTGAACTGGTAGTACTCACAATCAGAAGAAAAAAGAATATAACCCAAAACCCACAATTGTATTGTGCTAAAAGCTAAGTAAAGCGCATATACATAGGTATATCTATTTCAATAAAGTAATAAATATGGCAGGTTTTTTAAATAATAGACCTATCTCATAAAACGGACTTTTGGATAGCGCGTGCGTGAAAAGGCACGTCGTCTTTTTTTAATTATATAAAAGAGAAAGAGATACCACTCTTCTTCAGGCACGCGCTATCCAAAAGTCTGTTTTATGGGATAGGTCCATTACTTGTATGATTCTTCGGATGACAAGGAATTTAGATTTTATTGGGGACATTGCTACTAGAAATAAATATACCTAACCCAGGTTTGTTGAGTTTATAAATATATATAAAATTATATTTTAATAACATCACACATATGGAAGAATTTATTATCAATATTGATAATAAATTCTTCCATTCCTGCTCACAAATGACAAAAATTAGATGTATTAACATTAAAAATTAATAAAATCACCTTGTATAGCACTCATTTTTAAATAATATGTCCACTTTAACAGAAAATAAACTTACAATATTACAAACGTTAATAAATAAACAAAAAGATGAGGTTATGTGCCCCTTCTACGCATTAGTCTAATTTTATTATCAACAGTTCTTGCTCTCGAGCAAGAATCCTTTGAACCGTAATTTAACTGTTCGTATCTCTGGTTGGAACGACGAACTGACAGTAATTGCCAGTTCTAAACTACACTGAGAAAAAAGTTTATTGCTCCCAAATAAAAAAAATATTTAAATATGGGACAAGGGTACAGTTTATTTATCCTAAATATATTTTTATTCCCGACACATAAAGTTTTACTAAAGTATATTTATCGTTATTATTTCGACTATTTAGAGGTAATAAACAATATATTCACTATTAATAAAAGTATTAGCTACACAGTTTATTTGTCCCATTTTTTTCTCAGTGTAGTAATTTTAGTTGGTTGGAACGACATTTTACAAACGCGCATGTGTATCAGTAATATTACTGGAAATTACTGCTGGTTGGAATGAACCATAGATAATAAATCATATAGATACGCCACTGTCACATATTTGACGCTCCTTGTTACGCACACTCGGCCCGCTATGCCGCTAGTGTACCCGCCTGACATTTATTGGGTTTAGGTTATGGTTTTAATTTAGGTTATCCTGTCAAATTTTGACAGTCAAAATAGTAAAAAATAAAAGGCCTGATAGTTTATTTAAATTGTTTATTTGAAAAGCAAAAATAAATGTATTATATTTTAAATTATTCAAGGTATTTACTAAACTAAACCAATTAACAATATAATAATGTATTCAAGTGAATTTTATCTTATTAAAGAACACAAATCAGTATAAAGTAATAATATTATGTACCACATTTGTGTAAGTACCTTGTTTTAATAAAATAGTTATAATTGAATAATACAATACAACCTTGTCATCATTGTGAAAAGTATGCATCATAACTTGACTGTTAGAGCAGCCCACAGCACAGCACAACACCATGTTAATGTTCAAATAATGTAGCAATATATAAAAAATAGAGTACACAGATAACGATAAATCGCAATTATAAAAGTTTTTAAGCGTACAGAACAAACCAAATAAACACAATATGAATTTACAAAACTTTACAAAATTTATCAAACTGAAGTTTGTTGATTTCGTTACCAAGCAACCGTCAAGATTAACCGCCGCTCCTGCCACATGCAACTTGAGTGTAAAACAAAAATGTGGATTTTGTTTGTTTAAGGCGAGTGCACAGGGCATGAATGAACCTATTATAATTAATTGAAAATATATGGCTGACAACGCCAGGTGCACCGCGGCAGTGGTCCTTTTTGATGATACCAACATAATGAAATTAAACCGTCGAGTAAAGAATTAACGAATAAAAAATCAACGTTTACCCCTTTGATAATAATATTATCAGAATATCCTCACCATAGAAATAACAGTATTATTTCTATATGGCTTAAACTTAACCATGCATTATCTTGCAGTCGTGTGTACTGCGATGGACACCAACTGTCAAAATTTAATTGTCATGTTGGCTGCATTGTTTTTATTCACAACAAACGGCCCGATGAAAATTGTACGGTTTCGTTACTGTGTTTGGATTAGAGTTCTTTGAAATTTGTAAAAAAATGTGGTTTAAAAGTTTAGTTGAAGTTTTGTGTTGATTATAAAGCAGTTTTGTTAAAATAAGAATGGAATTTACGGATTCGTTGATTGCGAGGCTAGTGTTGGGTAAGATAAAAATAAATAGCATTGGCGGGAAAGTGAAAAAACGGTGTTCTTTATGCTTGTTTATTGTTTATTGTACAATTTTTAATATATCTATATATCTATATATACTATTGCAAATAAGCGTTTTATTTTGTACGTCAATATACTTTTTTAGATTATTTAGATTTCTTTCTATTTAGGCATTAACAAGCATCAACTGTTTTCAGGCTACCTCAAGAATGAAAAATGTAAATCGGCTGTAAACGAATTTATAAATCACTCGCCTCACTTTAAAAATGAAGTTAAAAGTGGAAAAATTAAATATATGTCAACAAGAGTTTCTGGTTTATCATTGACTGAGTACTTGCATGAATATGCACAAATATACTCGGTTGGTAAGTACATATTTATATTTGTAGGAAACAAATTTACATAAGTTCTATTTAGTTCAGGGAAGATTGGAGGCTACAGCTTATTTTCTTGAACATTATTCCAAAGCAACTCTTATAGAACAGTTGTTGTATCTTCTGGATAAAATCCATTGCAGTAGAAGTTCTACACCTTCCGCTAGGTTTGTTTATTACAATTAATTAAATACACAACATATTTTACCTATATTTTATTCATCTAGAACTCCTGATGTTTACCAAAGTACCCCAATAGAACTCAGCAGTGATGTTGAAGCTACACCAGCTCACTCATTGCCTGGTAATGTTGAATATCAGTTTGATGAATATTCCAGGGGGACACCTTGGAAGAGAAAGGAGTCTAAATTAAATAAATCGGAAAGCTCTAATCCAGGGGAAAACAATGATCAGCTTGAAGTAAGTCTAATGTCACTTGGACATTTCATATTTTTTTAGGTTACTGTAAGAAATGTCAAATGATCATGGCCCTTTATGCTTTTTAATTCATATTTTAATTGGTTAAAAATTGTAAATATATATCAAATGTTCTAATTGACTGGTTATAAAAATTTGACATTTTGTTAGGTTAACTACACTTTTTTATTAAATTCTAATCTTTATTTTGTTAGGTATTTACAAAAACATTAATAGAGAGTAAGGAGTTTACAGAAAAGTTAGCCCAAACAATAAATATTGTTAGAAACACTCCTGAAGCAAATAAGAAATCTGAGGAAGTTATAAAAGCAGGAGCCACTGCTGAGTTGAATGCTATCATAAAAACAGTGGTAAAAAGCACTGAGGAAGATCCAATTTTTGAAAGGATTCTTGATGAAATTATTGGATCTACACATCTAGACAATGAAAGGTAAGTTTGTTCTATACCCTTTTTTCATATTTCATGAAAGTTTTTTTTTACCACTATAATGAAATTATAAACATTTCTGTCAAATTGGAATCCTAGATAAAAGAGGATTGGAATGTATACCTAAATTTCAATAATAAAAAATTATCTTGGTAAAAAAATGTGTCAAAATTACAGTGAAACTCAATTTTGTTGAGTTAGAAAACATTTATGTATTGTAAAGGATTTTTGTTATAGAATTTTGACTAGATAAGAATATGTGTAAAATTAAGTAAAACATCAGTGTTTATAAAAAAACGTAAAAATTTTAACATTTGTTGATGGGTTTTAAGATAAATTATTATTATTAAAGGTTTTAAAGTTTTAAAGGTTTTACTCTAATGTTTTTAGGACAATTGATTTATGTAGATAGTTTTGTTGTAATTAAAGTGATTTAAAGTTTTGTTGATTTTTTAAAAACTTAAAATACATTATTTAAAATTATACCAAGTATCCTTCTATGTATGGGTATCTTCTTTATTTAAAGATCTACAAGGCCAGTTCAATTAGACAAAAGTTGCATAATTACAAGGCCTATTAAAATATATAAAATTGCAAAGAAAATGAGCGGTTCTGAAATAATTTAAAAAAAAACTGAAAACCTGTCAAAACCTTAAATTTTTATAACTTTGTTATTCCTGAGAATTTTGCATAAAAGTAAAATTCACAAGTAAACATACACATTTATCTACATTTTCATCCAATTTATGATTTTTTTACCCTACCAGATTTTAAGTTACCAGTGGATTTACCACTGGTAACTTACCAGTGGTAAATCGCGCTGCACAATAGCCCGGTAACGGGACCGGGGATCTTAACAGTAAAGGTGGGAGAGACTAAGCAACCACTGTTGATTGAGGTTCCCGTTCTCGTTACCTGGCTTTAGTGCTGCAGGCTTAACACACCACCACTATCTTTTGTTTTTCCTATTGCCGCTATATTGGAATTTTACATGGTTAGATAAAAAAATAATAAGGACTTCAACCATTTATCAAACTAGTAGTTTGAAACTACATATGTTATTTATGGCGGCCATTACAAAAACAAAAAATGGGGGTGGTAACTAGGGTTACCAGATTCTGTCTAAAAAAATCTGGACATTTTGTGTGAATTAAGCTTAATTTTCATGCATCCGTTTGTCCGTTATCCGTTTTTCAATAAAATCGTCCGATAAGAAATGTTCTAATTTTCATGCATCCGTTTTTTAATTACGTTTAACGGATTAATTTGGCGACAAATAGAAATTAAGTGTCAGTATATTCACTTTACTAAATTTACCTAATGCTTAATTGTCATAGTTACAATTATAAGTAGAACATTATTCACATAACGAACGTAATATTTCCGTTTTACAATCTTATTGAAAAAATATAAAGATTTGAAAATATATTATCTTAAAATAACGTTAGGCGTCAAAAACAAATTTGTAGTGACGGATGAGTTAAAATTATTTTAACTTTCTCTGTCAGACGTACGAAGTTGAAACTTGACGGACCGATAAAATGTCATAATTTTCGAATTATAATTGGACCAATAAGAGCGCTCCCGGATGAACGGACAAACGGATACATGAAAATTAAGCTTTAACCTTAATTACAAAAAACAACAATAATTAAGTAACGTCAAATTTACAATTTGCATTGTATTATTTTCTCAATTTTGTAATTAAGAAAAATTCATACAAAATGTCCCGATTTTTTTTGACAGAATCTGGCAACCCTAGTGGTAACTTTAAATATAGTATTGAAGAAATTGAATAAATGTGTATTTTTTCCACTGGAAATTTTTCAGGAATAACAAAGTTATAACGATTTTTGGTTTTAAAAGGTTTTTAGTTTTTTTTAAATTTTTTTGAGAACCGCTGGCTTTTTCCTATATATTTATTTAATTTTAATAGGCTTGTAATTACACAACTTTTATTTACCGACCTTGTAGCTCTTCAAAGTAAAATAAATACCCATAGAAGTATTACATATTATAAGAATACTTGTTTAATTTTTAGATTTCAGCGGAGTTCTTTTGTTGGCTCAGCAAAACTAAACTCAAAATTAATTTGTTGCATATTTTATATTGGCAAAATTGTCAAAATATTAATAATAATTTCTTCTGTATACATTTTCTATTCAAAAACAACAAAACCTTCAATAATAAGTTATTATTAATAACATAAATTTAACAAGGTACAGAAAAGTCTAAATATAAAGTTTACATTAATTATAAGATTTACCAGCTATTTTTTTATATAGCTTTTGTGTTAACGCTAGCCCTAGTGCGCCATTTTGTATTAAAGCAAAAAATGATGTGGAAAAATCTTCTTGCTCTTTTTATAAATGTTGTCTTTTTGTTCACTAAAATATTTAATGTTTTATTTGCAGCAATGCCAAAGAAAGCAAATCCAATCAAAACTTCTTGGAGGAACAAAACAATGAGGCAATACAATCGATCATTGTGGCCTCAAACACTAAAGAAAGTCAAACCACAGAAACAAACAATGAGGTTATTGTATTTGATGGATCTTTTGATAATTTCCTTAAAACCTCCACTCAGTCACCAAACATTGTCGCTTCAACTGCAGCACATGTGCAGCAGAACACAATTCTGCAAAATCCTGGTTATCTTTTGTTTCCAAACCAGCAGAATGTTGTGAAGTATGATCCCACAAAACAAATATATCTGCTTAATACTAATCAGCAATTGGTTAACGTAAAAATACCTCAAATACCTCAAATTAAACCTGTCGGAAGTGGGTTAAGCGAGCAGGAAATTATGGCTATGCCCACTGTCATTGTTAACGATGATCAAAATAGTAATACATCACAGAAATCTATAAAACTCATTCAAACTCGTAAGTATTTGAATTTAATGTAATTATTATTTATACAGTGTGTTAAAAAATTGGGAAAACATAAAAATGCTTCAAAAAGGTTGCCAGCTTTAGCTCACAGTTTTTGCTTGCTTTAAAACCCCACATAGTTTTTATTGTCTCTATTTAATATGCAATTTTAATTTTTCTGAAAATTTTGAAATTGTTTTGATAGAAATCATTTTTGGTCACTTTACGTGTATTTCTCATTTTCTTACTAACAAATGAATGATATTATCACGCTAGGTAGAAATCTTTTGAGAATTCTCCATGAAAACAATTACTTTTAAGAATTAAGTATTATTTTTATTGTTAACTCGGAGATTTTATTGCGAAACTCGAATCCCGTAACTAGGGTTTTAAAGTGTCGAAAAAAAAACCGGAAAATTTGGGAATAAACCTGTTTTTCCCAGGCCTTCGAAAAATTGTCTTTTTTGGAAAAAATTTAATTTTTTTTTGGAAAAAATACACATTTGAAAAAAGTAGCAATCAACAACTTAACATTATTTTAATTTACAGAAAAAAAATAAAACAATTAAATTAAATTGATTTAAGAAAATAAACGTAATCGTTAAATATACTGTTGGTTGAGTCTTTTTTGCAAAAATATATATAAAAATATCCAACTACAAAATAATGAATGATTTATAAAGTTAAATTATAATTAATTGTATAAATTGAAGTGTCAAATAAAAGTTATGTTAATACTGCACCGAATATGTTTTTTTGCGGCCCGGTAGAATATTTTTACTAAATTAAGATAAAATAAATAATTATGATCATAATATTATGATTATAATCAGCGTCGGAAATTCACTTTATTCTCGATATTAGTGTACGGATATCATCCATAAAAATTTGTATATTTTTAGAAAAATTGACTTGCATTTTTTCGTTTCATCCTTTAAATAAAATTCTGAAAATTTCACAATTTTATCGTTTTTTCCCCCGGAAAAAACAATTTTTTTCTTCGGAAAAAACAGGTTTTTTTTCGCCGGCTCAATTTTTCCGGAAATTTAAATTTTAAAACATAATTGTGACTAATATTTTGCCTTAACATCCTACTTAAAAAACTTATGGAAAAACATTTTTTTAAATAAATTACTAGCAATGAGTGCGGAAAAAAAACTTGCGTCATAATTAATTACCTCTGACATTTACATTCAAAGTTGATGAGATAGACCCACAGACCACCAAAACAAATGGACGGCGCATTGCCATTCAATAACAATGCTATGTTTGCGGTCAACGAACGGTCACAGCCTAAGCGTTAAATTGGCTATAGAATTTTATGTTTTCTTCCAGTGACGTATTGCGTACTCCAAAACAGCTGACATATAACAAATATGACAGCTGACTGCAACCAGTGCCGTGGTGTTAAATAGGGATAATTTAAAAATAGTTTAATTTAATTGTGATTACTTACCTATGAAAGGATACAATTGGATTTTTTTGGTTTGTTTTTTTACAAACAGTACACTGTCGCACCATTTTTAGTAAAAAATAATGTATTTAAACTCAATAATTAACTTAAACACGATATAAATACACAAACGAAATCACAAAACAACAAGCTGTCAACCTTTTTCTATGCTGTCAACTACAATCCACTGAACGCAAATATGACAATTTTACCAACGTTGTTAATATTTAATTTTAATAATTATTAAATGATTTACTTTCTTTAAATAGAGAAAAATATCTAAAGAAAATGATGAACAAATCCTTTTTACGATATTTTTATTATTCAAACGAATTACTGGTAATTTTTAATGTTCATTATGTTATGATGAACGTCCAAAAAGGCGTGTAATCTATACTTCTGACAACGTTGGAAGCCGTGTTTCTTTCGACGGTGTTTAGAATGTGGAACTATACTTTACTCGCTTTTTAAACGTAAACAAATCCGTCCATTTGTTTTGGTGGTCTGTGGATAGACCATAGAGAAAGTATGGCTCACACTGTAAATTTACAAACATAGTCGTCATAGTAGCGGGAAGTATTACAGCCTGTAATTTACAGGGACTTATAAGAATGTTTTCTCATGGGCCTAATACCGGGACTTTTTATCAAGACGGGAAGGAATTTATGATATAAATTAACACTAGTATACAAAATTCGAAAAAGTTTTTCCTCTTTTAACCAGAATCCCTTTTTCAATGGTAAAATTTGAAACAACTATAAAGATTTGGGATTGATTTGATATGCGTATCCAGAAATCTAGAGCTAAACCAGAAAAACCACTATGTTATACGGAATCAGCACTAAATTTTACCCTAAAAAAAGAAGTTCTGGTTAAACGAGAAAATTCATGCGAATCGCGAATACAATCGGCATCTATTAAGCAATTTAATTTTATTTTACTTTTTGTCTAAAATAAAAACCAATATTTATAAAATATTGTTTTTTTAGAATATCAGCCAATGCAAATCAACCAACCCCAACCACCGACTGACGATCTACACGCCAACTTGAATGAATACATAAGACTGTACAAATCGGAGGAGGGGGCGCCACCAGCGAAAAAAGTAAGAACTTTGCTACCTAGAAGATCGAAAAATAAAAATGCTAAAACCCAACCTGCCCCAAGTACCTCGAATGTTGTAATAGGACCCCCACCAACTGAATCTGTTACAGTTGCTGATAAAACTGCAAAAGTCGAATGTGCTCCAAGTAACCCGACTGAACCTGAAGGTGTTACTGAAACTTTAGTTAAGTCTTTGCCTGACATGCAAAGTTTGGATGTCAGTGTTGTACCTGAACCTGAACCCGAACCAATTAAAACAGCTGAGGTGAAAAATGTAACGCCCGTACAAACGATGGTGGTTAAAAAGGCCACCCCAAAAAGCGGTTCGCATGTAAGAAACCTAAATTTTACTACACCGCCGAAAGTAACGTCGACGGGCAAGAAAAAAGTACAAGGAAAAAAAGACAAATCGCCCACTTTTATACATAAAAAGCAAGCTGCCAAATCTCTGTTCAAAAGTGAAGATAATAAACCGCCCAAAAAGGTTATCGAAAAGAGGGATTTAAAAAATGAGTGGGACACTCAGTTGAGGGCTTTAGCTGCCATAAATGAAGAAGATAAGTCAGCTACTCCAAAAAGAAAACCAAAGACTTCAGGGGCGCCAAAAAGAAAAGCCAGGAAAGCTGACAGTAAACTAAATGCGACTGCACAAGCAGCTATGCTACTGGAGGCAGCACTAAAAACTCCAATTAAAAAGGTTAGTAATTTTTACTTTGACTTTTTTCGTCATATTTTTGAATGTGAATATAAAGAAAAACTGTTGAGGCACTCTGCTGCTTTAGAATAAAGAAAATAGTAATAATTACACTGGTCAGCAGGGTGGCCAACCTTTTTTCTACAATACTTTGGGGGCCCTTATTTCAAAAATCATTTTGCTGCATATTTAGAAAACCATATCGTGTTTGGCCCTTTGCGCATTCTACTGGGTCTTTTATTAAAAGAAGATTCAATTGGAAACCATTTTGATACACTTGGAAGTTTAGATTGTTTAGTGTAAACAAGAAACCATAAAAAACATACTTACAAAACTGTTTTTAACAACAAAAACTCATTTGTCAACAATAATAAACGTATTGTATGTAGCTATAGCTATAGGTTTTTTTCTAAAATTGTTTTTAATTTTCCAGTGGTTTCAAAAACGCAATATGTTTAGTTAGTAAGTTAAGTAATAGGCCAGTAAAAGCGTATGTTGACCCAATACTTTTATACCAAATGAAATTTTATTTCTTTAATCAAAGGAGCATACATTCAATAGCATACATATTAGGGTGTTTCATTTAAAACGAAAAATTATTTTGTTCTTGCTGACACATGAAAATTTTGTTTTTTAGGTTGAAAAAAAAATTCCCTGAAAATTTTAGCCCTTAAATTTGATTTTAAGTACTTCCTTTTTAATTTTGTAGTTTTTCCATATAAAAAGCATGTATTTTTAATCATTTTTACTTTAAATTTCTATATTTTGGCCGGGTTTTGAATTATAATTTTTATCACCATAATTTCCTGCATAGTATTCACGGTTTTTGAAAGGCCCTGCATCAATTTTGTTTTTGATTTATTTACGTTGATTGTAGTAGCTCCAAAAGTCGTTTTTCACTTTTTCTTACATATTTTTGAGAAAATCGAGCGAATGACTGGTTTTACCGGAAAAATTCAAATGAAAAAGTTGTAGAAAATTTAATTTTTGACAAAAAAAGTTCTTACGTTCATATCACTAAAGTGCTTTGTTTAAGAGACATAAGGTATAAATGTATGTATATTAGGGTGTGCCAAAAAAAGTCGATATTTTTTTTTTCTTGCTCTCCACCCAAAATATCGTAAAATATGTCCAAACAAATATCCTGTTAAAAGCGGAGTTCATAATTTCAATTTTAAGAGGTCCTCCATCGAATCTGAAGGTTTGCCGCTTAAATAACACAGAAAACTGACTTTTTTACCTTATTTATTCTTGCAACCTAGAAAGAAATTTTTTTTTCATAAAATCCATGACCAAATCTTACAAAGCATTAAATTTGAACGAAAAAATCTTATTAGGCCGAATTTCTATTTTCATTATTTGATTTTTTACAGAGCTTTAAATTTAAAATTTTACGTTTTTTGCCTTTTTTAGCTAAACTATTGAAGTTAGACGAAAAAGTCAAATGGCAATTTTTTAGCTTGTCTGATGGACCACAAAAAAGTTTAAGGCGAATTTTTTGTATCGTAAATATTCTAAAAGTTACAGACGTATAAAGTCATCATTTTTGAATTATTAACTTTAAATTTAAAGCTCTGTAAAAAATCAAATAATGAAAATAGAAATTCGGCTTAATAAGATTTTTTTGTCCAAATTTAATGCTTTGTAAGAATTAGTCATGGATTTTATGAAAAAAAAAATTCTTCCTAGGTTGCAAGAATAAATAAGGTAAAAAAGTCAGTTTTCTGTGTTATTTAAGCGGCAAAACTTCAGATTCGATGGAGGACCTCTTAAAATTGAAATTATGAGCTCCGCTTTTAACAGAATATTTGTTCGGACATATTCTACGATATTTTGGGTGGAGAGCAAGCAAAAAAAAATATCGAGTTTTTTTGGCACACCCTAATGTATATTATATTATACATAAATTTCAATAAAACCTATTTTTTCTTTTTTTTTGGTTATTTAATTGCTTATATCTCTTAAACAAAGCACTTTAGTGATATGAAAGTAGGAACCTTTTTTGTCAAAAATTAAATTTCCTACAACTTTTTTATTTGAACTTTTTTGGTAAAACCAGTCATTCGCTCGATTTTCTTAAAAATATGTTAGAAAAAGTGAAAAAAACGACTTTTGGAGCTACTACAATCAACGAAAATAAATCAAAAACAAAATTAATGCAGGGCCTTCCAAAAACCGTGAAACCGGACAAAATATAGAAATTTAAAGTAAAAATGATTAAAAATAGCTGCCTTTTATATGGAAAAACTACAAAATTAAAAAGGAAGTACTTAAAATCAAAATTAAGGGCTCATATTTTCAGGGAATTTTTTTTTCATCCTAAAAAACAAAATTTTAATGTGTCAGCAAGAAAAAAAAATTGTTCGTTTTAAATGAAACACCCTAATACATATATTGTGGTTTTCGAAATGATCCGAACATTCGCCATCTTGAAAAAAAACCTAACTTTATTTTAATAACTTATCAACCGTTTATCGCACAGAGGCCAACAGACTTTAAAATACTGTCAATTTTAATTGCTACATTTTTTATAAAACATATTTTCCTCACCAATGCGTTGTACAACAATTGTTTCATGAATATATTTAAAAAAACAACTTTTTCGGAAATTGTTTTTTTTCTTTCTTAATAATAATAATAATAGTATATTATGTATCAAGTAACTTGATTCAAGTTTGATAAACGCCATTTTATACACGAATTTAATTTAGGCACAGTTAATACTTTTCTACTCCCACCTTTAAAACGCCCCTTATCGTACATGTTTCCATGACCCTAAGTGACCTTTTAAATACTCATTGACAAGTTATGGACCACAAAAAAGTTTAAGGCGAATTTTTTGTATCGTAAATATTCTAAAAGTTACAGACGTATAAAGTCATCATTTTTGAATTATTAACTTTAAATTTAAAGCTCTGTAAAAAATCAAATAATGAAAATAGAAATTCGGCTTAATAAGATTTTTTTGTCCAAATTTAATGCTTTGTAAGAATTAGTCATGGATTTTATGAAAAAAAAAATTCTTCCTAGGTTGCAAGAATAAATAAGGTAAAAAAGTCAGTTTTCTGTGTTATTTGGTCAATTCTCATATAACTTGTTCCGATGCTGTATCCACTTATTTTTGTGAAAACTAATTCTCGCTCAAGGTTTTTTTTAGTGTAATAAGCATGTAGCATTTCAAGGTAATGGGAACTTAAATTATGACAACCCTAATCTATTAATTTTTTCCTAAAATGCAGGCTTTATGTTGCAAATGTCACATAAGTTACCGGTCACCAACTGCAATATCCTAACATCGATGAATATTTCAACAAAATGACCGTTCAAACAACTAATGTTAGTGCTTGATTAACTAAAAATAGACTTAAGATTGACAAAAAATTATTTTATCCGAAATCGGCAGTAAAGTAGTCAACAATCGTAAATTAAAATAAATCGGCAGTAAAGTTCTACTTTACTGCCGATTTCGGATAAAAGAATTTTTCGTCAATCTTAATTAAGTCTATATTGAGTTAATCAAGCACTAACATTAGTTGTTTCAACAGCCATTTTGTTAAAATATTCATCAATGTTAGGATATTGCAGTTGGTGACCGGTAACTTATGTGACATTTGCAACATAAAGCCTGCATTTTAGGAAAAAATTAATAGATTAGGGTTGTCATAATTTAAGTTCCCATTACCTTAAAATGCTACTTGCTCATTACACTAAAAAAAACCTTGAGCGAGAATTAGTTTTCACAAAAATAAGTGGATACAGCATCGAAACAAGTTATATGAGAATTTACCATTTAAGCGGCAAAACTTCAGATTCGATGGAGGACCTCTTAAAATTGAAATTATGATCTCCGCTTTTAACAGAATATTTGTTCGGACATATTCTACGATATTTTGGGTGGAGAGCAAGCAAAAAAAAAATATCGAGTTTTTTTGGCACACCCTAATGTATATTATATTATACATAAATTTCAATAAAACCTATTTTTTCTTTTTTTTTGGTTATTGAATTGCTTATATCTCTTAAACAAAGCACTTTAGTGATATGAAAGTAGGAACCTTTTTTGTCAAAAATTAAATTTCCTACAACTTTTTTATTTGAACTTTTTTGGTAAAACCAGTCATTCGCTCGATTTTCTTAAAAATATGTTAGAAAAAGTGAAAAAACGACTTTTGGAGCTACTACAATCAACGAAAATAAATCAAAAACAAAATTAATGCAGGGCCTTCCAAAAACCGTGAAACCGGACAAAATATAGAAATTTAAAGTAAAAATGATTAAAAATAGCTGCCTTTTATATGGAAAAACTACAAAATTAAAAAGGAAGTACTTAAAATCAAAATTAAGGGCTCATATTTTCAGGGAATTTTTTTTTCATCCTAAAAAACAAAATTTTTATGTGTCAGCAAGAAAAAAAAATTGTTCGTTTTAAATGAAACACCCTAATACATATATTGTGGTTTTCGAAATGATCCGAACATTCGCCATCTTGAAAAAAAACCTAACTTTATTTTAATAACTTATCAACCGTTTATCGCACAGAGGCCAACAGACTTTAAAATACTGTCAATTTTAATTGCTACATTTTTTATAAAACATATTTTCCTCACCAATGCGTTGTACAACAATTGTTTCATGAATATATTTAAAAAAACAACTTTTTCGGAAATTGTTTTTTTTCTTTCTTAATAATAATAATAATAGTATATTATGTATCAACGCCATTTTATACACGAATTTAATTTAGGCACAGTTAATACTTTTCTACTCCCACCTTTAAAACGCCCCTTATCGTACATGTTTCCATGACCCTAAGTGACCTTTTAAATACTCATTGACAAGTTATGGCGCTTTAGTCAGGGGCTGAAGTTAGCAACAGGTTTTTAGTCACGGGCTGAAGTTCGGGCATGGACTCTACTGACAGTAGACTACTGTAAAGTCCTCATTAAACATTTCCTTTACTTTCACTGTGAAAAACTGTCAATTTTCAATACATTTCGATTTAT